TCAATGAGATGGGCCACATTAAGAAAAATTAAATAGTACGGAGATGTGATAAATAAGAAAAAAAAAGAAGTAAATAAGCTACAATAAGAAAATATCAATAGTATGAGGACATTTTATGCGATTAAACCTATTTGTTTTATGTCGGATTGGATAAAATCATATGCTATTCATTATCTTTTGAATTTTAAGTCATTTGATGTTGAGTTTCTGGATTTTTTTTAATTAGTTTTGGAGATCTTAGACTTTTAGTTTTTTTGAAATCTAGTCTATCCAATAATTTGTAACTATGTTCTTTCTTTGTAAAAACTTCATTTTTTGATATTTTGAGTTAAAACTTTACATACATTTTGGAAAAATATTCAATTCATTTTGTAAAAAAAAATATATATTCAAAATAAAAAACAATATTTTTTTATTTTCTGAACATTAAAAATATAAAAAATTAGAAAAATAAAAAAATAACCCTAAAATGATTCCAAATTTTTTGAAATCCCCACATAAATCTCAATGAATAATTTATATCATGAAATTATTTATGCGATTATTTTTTTTGAGATAAATGATAATAAATTTAAAAAAATATGTTAAACCTGAAAAAATTTAAAATTTAAAGATACTCAAAAACCAATAATTTTTTTTAAAGAAATTTAATGTCAGACGACTTAAAAGTTCAGAGATAGGCAGACTTTTTAGTCAAAACAAAATTCTGTCAGTTTGATGGTAGATGGTCGTGATAATCAAGTTGGCACTTAATTCTCTTTCTTATTTGCGGGCCACTCATTAATCTCTTCTACTTTTATCTTTTTCTTTCTTTTGTAACCACTCTCATTATTCTTCCTTAATTATCATCATTGTGTAGGATTCCTTTCTCACATACTGAGCATCATTTTTCTGATTTTTTTTTTTTACAATCATGACATTATTAAACTTGCTTCTTCTAGATATCCAGAGTATATTCTTTGTATCAAATAAGCTAAAAAAATGTTCTAAAATAATTATTCAGTCAAAATTTTAAATAACGTACTTTTTAAAAATATTATTAATTGATAAATTTTTTTTTATTTCTAGTTTTTCACTAATAAAAAATTAATATTTATTTTATAAATTGCTCTTATATTTACAAATACATTTAACATAAAAATTTCAAAGGAAAATATGTAATTAGATAAAAAATATTATTTTTGTGTAGACTTCACTGCATGTTGACATTTTGAGAATACAATATTTTTCATTAGTATGTTATTTTTCATAATTATTTTAAACTTGATCTTTAATTAACTTAATGATTTTTTTTTCTTTGATTTACTATCTTAATCTTGAATAGATTTTTCATTAAATTAATATTATTTTCATATAATAGATAATTAAATTTGATAACTGATAATTTTAACAATAAAAATAATTTTAAAAAACAATAATCTGACTAATAACTTTCTTAAATCATGTAAAAGTAACAAGAGATGATTTCTTTAAGATTGAGGAAATACTTAATTAAAAACAAAGGAGATTCATGTTTCTTTTTGTATTTTTTCATACGAAGGGTTGGTTAATAGCCGCATACTAATGAGCTTGTAACTTATTGATAATGACCTTTTATTTATATGTAAAAAGTTATAGGTTAAAATTCTAGTTTTGTAAGAAATCTTGAATACGTGAGATAAAAAAATAAGTAAAAGGTTACGGGATTAAATTATAGTTATATTAGAAATCTAGAATTTGTGGGTTAAAAAAAAGAGAAAAAGAAAGAATAAGTGGGGCATAAAGATATTTGCCATAGTCTAAATTACTTTAAAAAGCTGACCATTAGCTCATTTGATCGGACTTTCATATTTATTAATATAATAATAGCAACTATGTTATGCTTTTTATTGCTAAAACATTTGGTCAGATGAATGGCAAAAACACGGCAGACAGTTTGGGCTGATTTTCAATGTAGAAAAGAGAAAATTTCTTCGAAACCAATTCCAGCCGTGAAACAAGCAACTTTTTAGTAAAAGAAAACGTAAAAGTTTCTCCAGTCTTCAACTTGACAATTATTTATAAGCATTGCCTATTCTTGCTAGCTTTGAGGTCCTGTCTAGGGCATATCTGGTTTCCTCTACCTGGTACAGTTCTTGACTGGTCTTGGCTCTTGAGCCTCACGCTCGTGGTGAGAGATCTGATGTACCTTTTCTTTTTTAATGCACTTTTATATATAGGCCAGCAGATGGCATTTACGAAGCACTTGGAGATTAGATACGGGATGTCCAGTCTTTTATGGTCTGAGAGTGATCATGTCCTAATGTATTTCATAATTCAAGACTTAATCCTATAATAAGATTGGGAAATTGGTGACTATATATTGAGATTAGTGGGATTTGAACTAAAAACATAAACATATTTGAATTATGTTGCTTGTTATTAAAAATTATTATTTGGAATTTCAGTTCGATTTTTAATAATTTTAATTTGATTTTTAATTAACTCAATTTATAAAAACAAAAACGAAAACCAAATTCAAACCAAATTACTATTTGATTTTTTGGTTTAAAAATCAAAATTTATCTTTTTTGGTTTTTGTTTTCTCAATTTTAACCGATTTTTTTCTAAATTTGTTAATAACTTAAGCGAGATAAAAAACATCATTAACAATCATGCAGGTAAAATAATGTTAAAGTATTGATTTTTTAAATTTATTTATATTACTTTAAAACTTAAAAAAAGAAAATAAAATTCAGAAAAAAATCAATTTTCGGTTCAAGCCGAACAAAAAACCAAAAACCAAACCGAAGAGAACAAACAAAAATAATTCAGTTTGTTCTGTTTTATTAATTTTAAGTTAAAACCAAACCGAAATTGTTATTTTAATTAGATTAGATTTAAATCTAATAGTGCCATGGACTATAGCCAGTGTGGGTGAGTAATTTTTTCTTATTAGTGAATATTAGAAACTTGAAAGCTAAACTCCCCTTATGAGAGTTGAACTGAACGTCAATAGGTGTAATGTTGTAAAAAAAGTAACATAAACTTGTTGATGTCAGCTAAATGTTCACAAACAGACATGCCAGGGTAATCAAGATTCTGATTTCTAAACAAGAAGGCAGAATCTAGGAGAAGAGGGAGAAGGAGGAAAAGAATAAATAAAACACATTGGTCAAGTTGGCTTTGGACATAAGGTTTTTATATGTCAGGAGTTAGGATTAGGAACATAGAAATAAGGGAAAACGATTAAAAAAATAGAAAGTAGAAAAAGAAAAACAAAAATAGAACAGGAGCGAGGGAGAGAAGAACTAGATGGAGGAGAGTGAAAACAGGCTGGTCAGTCTCCTGTGAATGCTCAGAATATAGGAGAAGAGGGAGAACGAGGAAAAGAATAAATAAAACACATTGGTCAAGTTGGCTTTTGGACATAGCGCATGGGGTTTTTACATGTCAGGAGTTAGGATTAGGAACATGGAAATAAGGGAAAAAAAGAAGGTAAAAAGATTTAAAAAATAGAAATAGAAAAAAAAACAAAAACAAAAATAGAATAGGAGCGAGGGGGAGAAGCAGTAGATGGAGGAGAGTGAAAACAGGCTGGTCAGTCTCCTGTGAATGCTCAGAACCTGCCACCACCTTGTTCTTGTTTTTTACTAAATCAAAATCTCTCAACACTCAAAACTCACCAGTCACCAGCTTCCTTCATTTTTGGAATTAATTAGCAAAGAAAATCCAAGTGAACCGCACACTCTCTCCTCGTTAGTCCACCACCCCACCTTCTTGTTCCTGTAATGGTGGAGACTTTCTATGTTTCCTTTACATTTTACCCATTTTTATAACCTTAACTACTCCCTTTCTTTGTCTCTTTGTCTTCATGCTCCCTTACTTGGCCTTTTTATAACGAGCTAGGTTCATTTGCTTTCTTTCTTTCTTTCTTTCTTTCTTGCTTTTTTTCTTGCTATTACTGGTAATTTCATCACAACACAGTAACACTAAAACTAAAGAGTGCCCATGTTGAGTTTTTAGCTTCTTGTGTGATTAGTGTTTTATTTTTGGAGTTAAGGGTGTGTTAAGCTGAGAGAGGATCGCCTTCCTCAGGTACTGTAATTACTTCTCTCTCTCTCTCTCTCTCTCTCTCTTTTTTTTTTTTTTTTTTTTTTAAGGAAAAACCAAACCCTTCTCTTAACCTTTCAGAAAAATGTACAGGGATGTTTCTTGTGGATCTGTTGAGGTTGTCTTTGTGGCTTGATGCTTTGTTGGTTAAATAAAGAAAGAAAAAGAAGAAAGACTGTAAAAAGTTGGTTTCTTGTTGGAAAACATCGATTCTTACACTAATTTATGTTGTTAGAAAGAGGTAGTGTTTGCTTATCTAATCACTAGAGGAAAAAAAAATGCACACTAGTAAGCTTTGTATTTGTGACCTTGTTACACCATTTTCAAATTTCTTGGAATTTTTTTTGGTACATATCGGTTTTGGCTTTTGGGATTGTAATAATTTTGCTGTGTTTTTGTCACATCGGATTTTTGAATTTTTGTTTTCTTTTTCTAACATGTTTTAATGTTTATTTAATTTTTAACCTTCATTTCCATCTTGAAGTTCTTTTCTTTTTATTGGAATTTGACAGTAATTCCTCCATGCTCTGTCTCTGCTCTGTTTCCTCTTTTTAGTAAATAAGGAACATTTCACCTGAATTTTTAACATGTCTTTTACAGCGCAAGTTCTTCATTGGTTCTGCAGATTTTTTAAGTTCACGAATAAGTTGTATCTGGTTTCATTATGGACATCATTTTCTGTCAGATTGGCAGCCTGTCTCTTCCTTTTTCGCAAAATAAATAATGAAATCATGAGTCCATGTGTGGAATTGGAGCTTTTGTTGGTGTCTAATGTTGATCTTTTGATGAGGCTGACAGCTTTAAAAATGATGTGTAGGCTTGTTCAACAATTCCATCACCTAGAGCTTCTTGTCTCTTAAGTATATTTCTGCTCATTTCTTTCGTGTTTATGAGATATTTGCAGGTTTGTTTGTTGTTTATAAATAAAAATGGCAAATGAATCACCAAAGCATCATCAGCTAGAAGCAAAGAGAAAGCGCCTAACTTGGATTCTTGGGGTCAGTGGCCTTTGCGTTTTGTTTTATGTTTTGGGAGCTTGGCAGCATACCTCGCCACCCACAAATCTATCGAAGTCCATCACAAAAGTAGCTTGTGATACTTCAAACTCTGCCGCGGTTAGTTCTGATCCATCATCGTCATCATCAGTTCTCTTGGATTTTGATACCCACCACCAGATTCAGATCAACAATACTGCTTCAGTTAATGAGTTTCCACCATGCGACATGTCCTATAGTGAGTACACTCCTTGCCAAGATCCTCAAAGGGGAAGGAAATTTGATAGGAACATGCTGAAATATAGAGAGAGGCATTGCCCAACAAAGGATGAACTACTCCTTTGCTTGATTCCTGCTCCGCCTAAATATAAGACCCCTCTTAAATGGCCTCAAAGCCGCGATTATGCCTGGTATGATAACATTCCCCATAAAGAACTTAGCATTGAAAAGGCTGTGCAGAATTGGATTCAAGTAGAGGGTGACCGATTCAGATTCCCCGGTGGAGGCACCATGTTCCCGCGTGGAGCTGATGCTTATATCGATGACATTAATGAGCTCATTTCTCTTACTGATGGGAGAATCAGAACTGCAATTGACACAGGCTGTGGTGTAAGTTAATCGCCAAACTATCATGTTTTCTATTCAACTTCTGTTTTCGAATCCTATCCAAATAGCTCGAGGTACATGTGTTCTATGATAATTAGCAGCATTCTAAGTCTTATGTGTACTGTTCTTGTCCTTGTTATGGATGCTAAGGTTGCGAGTTGGGGTGCATACCTGTTGAAGAGGGACATTATAGCAATGTCTTTTGCACCAAGGGATACACATGAAGCACAGGTCTGGTTTGCATTGGAGAGGGGAGTTCCTGCTATGATTGGCGTCATGGCTTCACAAAGGCTTCCTTACCCAGCAAGGGCTTTTGACATGGCTCATTGTTCCCGTTGCTTGATACCGTGGCATAAAAATGGTATGCCGTCAATTTTAAATCGCACCTCGTGTTGAATAACATATAAAGCATGGATTTCTGCACAACAAAACTTCAATTGATCCAATTATGTTGTTTTCTTTGATTTCACAGATGGTATGTATCTGATTGAAGTGGATAGAGTTTTGAGGCCTGGTGGCTATTGGATTCTATCTGGTCCTCCTATTCGCTGGAAGAAATACTGGAGAGGTTGGGAAAGAACCCAAGAAGACTTGAAGCAAGAGCAGGATGCTATTGAGGATGTAGCCAAGCGCCTGTGCTGGAAGAAAGTTGTTGAAAAGGGTGATCTTTCAGTCTGGCAAAAGCCCCTCAACCACATCGAGTGCATTGCAAGCAGGAAGACCTATAAAACACCACATATATGCAAATCAGACAATCCAGACGCCGCGTGGTATTCTCTCAATATGCACATCTTAATTCATGCTATTTCATGTCCTAATTTTATATGCTAATACCTTTGATTTAACACCGATACCGAAAAAGGTACAAAGACATGGAACTTTGCATAACTCCATTGCCAGAAGTAAGCAGCTCTGATGAAGTTGCAGGTGGTGCAGTGGAGAAATGGCCAGCACGCGCATTCGCAGTCCCTCCAAGAATTCGCAGCGGTTCAATACCTGGAATCACTGCTGAGAAATTCAAGGAGGACAATGATCTGTGGAAGGATAGAGTGACACATTATAAACACCTCATTAGTCCTCTCACCCAAGGCAGATACAGAAACATAATGGACATGAATGCACAGCTTGGAGGATTTGCTGCAGCCATGGCAAAATATCCATCTTGGGTTATGAATGTGGTACCTGCCAATTCAAATCCAGACACACTTGGTGTGATCTATGAACGAGGGTTTATCGGGACATATCAGGATTGGTGTGAGGCAGTCTCCACATATCCAAGAACGTATGATCTCCTCCATGCTGGGGGCGTGTTCAGTATATATCAGGACAGGTAAAACTTGAACGCTCAAAAACCGTCTTTGATCATCATGATCTTGCAAGTTACAATCTTATGATTGAATATGTGTTGATTCTTGTGTATTCAAGGTGTGACATAACCCACATTCTGCTGGAGATGGATAGAATTCTAAGGCCAGAAGGGACAGTGATATTCAGGGATACAGTAGAGGTTCTTGTGAAGATTCAGACTATAACAAATGGCATGAGATGGAAGAGCCAAATTATGGACCATGAAAGTGGACCCTTTAACCCAGAGAAAATTCTTGTCGCTGTCAAAACTTACTGGACTGGTGAAACAAAGCAAAAGCAGTAGCCATATAGTGTATTTTTTTACTCTTCCTGGAGCCCTTTTCTATCTTCTCTTTCTTTCTTTTCTTTTTGGGTAATCATCATGTTGAGTCAGATTATTTATCAAGGATAATCTCCTTGTGGATGAGAAAAAGCACGGGCTTTTCCTCCATATTTTTTGAGTCATGTACTTCATTAATTAAGGTAAATTTATTTCCTCCGTGTTTCTCATCTCATCTTCATAATGATAGTTTGGACTAGGTCTAGGTAAGAGAGAGAGAAACAGAAGAGAGTAAATTAAAAAAAAAAAAAATTGAGTGAACTTTGAAATTTTTTTTATCAGTTTTGATAGATTCGAATGTAATTTAATGTGTTTATCTTTCTTTTTAAAGTGTGTCATAAAGTAATTATTATACATATTATTAGTTATTTTTTTATGTATTATAAAATTTTTCGACTTCTTATTTGTCACAAAATATAGAAGCACAATACGATAAATAGCTTAATTTATTTTTGTATAATACTTCAAATCTCTCGAATATCTTTAGATTTTTAATTATATATTATCAGTCTTAAAATTTCCCTTGACTGAAATATCCTTTTAAAAAAAAAAAATTGAGCGAACGTTGAAATTTTTTTTATTATTTTTGATGGATTCGAATGTATTTCAATGTGTCCATTTTTCTTCTCAAAGCAGGTCATAAAATAACTATTGTATATATTATTAGTTATTTTTTGTGTATTATAAAATTTCTCAACTTCTTGCTTATCACAAAATATAGAAGAACAATACGATAAATAGCTTAATTTATTTTTATATAATACTTCAAATCTCTCAAGTATCTTTAGATTTTTAATTACATATCATCAGTCTTAAAATTTCTCTTGACTGAAATATCCTTTTTTATAAAAAAAAAAAAAAAAAAAAACCCTCAAAGTCGCAAAACTTAGCATGTTCTATTTTTGCATTTCAAATCAAAAAATTTTCAAACTTCAAAGTCAGAATCTTACCACTCACAATCATCTGCTATCAACTGAAATGAATGAATGATGGACGAATAAAGTGAAATGTTGGTCAAATTTGGAAAAATGTAGCCATAACCATACTCCATTCAATCCAACCACAACCACAACCACATTAGGCTGCAAAGGTTTTGGACTACACATCCAAAACCTAAGGTTGTCAGTTGTCACGTAAAAAAAATCAAGTCTTAACCATCTGGATGGCTTCTTAAAGACAAAAGATGAACGATCAATCTCTTTCTTTCCCTTTTTTTCTCTTTGAATCTTAGTGAAGAAAAATCCAAGGAACCAACCTTTTGATTTGGCTAACAATCTATGTTTGCTTAACTATCATCCAACTTTCTTGCAAGGGTGCTACCACTAGGTTTGAGGCTAGAAGTAGTGTACTTATTTTCTTTAATTTTACTCAACGTAGCATTGGCATCTGAAAATTAACCACCTACCTCTCTTCATTCCATTGTTAGTCTCAACTAAAAACCCAAGATGGATTAACTTGTTATTGCTATTAATTTGAGAAGTTCAGCTCACCTACTAATTAAACAAATTATGCCAACAAAAGTCTACAAATCTCTTTGTCTAACCTGTTCCAGCCTAATTGTGAAGGAGAACAGGCACCAAAAGGGAAGCTTGCCCGAGTTCAAACATTCCCACCTCACCAAAAATAAAGAAACGACAGGATAAGCAAATGTCAAATGAAAATTAAATCTATCACTCTCCGAGTTAAATCAGCACCATAATTTTCCACGTTAGTTAAGTTGCTAATATTATTCTTAATCTTCTATAATTACATTTTTATCTCTTAATTTCGAATCATTGATTAATGACTATCATTCTGTAATTAAAAAAAAAAAATCTATTGTACATGAAAATACACCAATGTTCATACATTTTCACGATTCAATTACTCGAGTTTCCAATTAAATAAAAAAGCAAAATACTTATTAGAAGAAGAAATGTACCATTTTTTTCATAAAAAGAAATTGTCCTGTCATAAAACAGAAAAGAAGATGAAGAACAAATGTTGTACAAAAAAAAAAAAAGTTTGAGATTCAAATGACATAAATTTGATTAGGACTAAATTAGGAAAAAAAAATCAAAGAACTTATTAGGCGGAAAGAGATTAAAAAAAAAAAAAAAAAAACTAAGGAAATAAAGTGCAAATCACTAAAAAATAATTAAAATTAAAACTTATTACAAATGAGCCAAATACCACTAAATATTGAAGTTGCTTCCAAGGTTAATAATTTGATTTTCATTCTCGAAAAACTTCTCTTCCTTTTTTATATAATACTTGACATGAATTGCGTCGATAAAATTAAAAAATCAAATGTTTAAAATCAATAAAAAACTAAACGTGATATAACGTCTCACTCAACTCAAAAAATGATGAACTTAATATCAATTGACATAAAAGTGTATTAACAATTTGTTTTTACTTGTCAAAAATTATTTTTCTATGTAAATATCTTTAAATAATTTCTTTTCTTATAAGAAACCAACGAAGAAGAATTCCAAAAAAGAAAAGAAAAGTCAATGAAGAAATAACTATAGGTCTTGCCAAATGCATGTATAGCCTGCCTGATTATTGCCAAAGTACTATTGGTCGAGGCTTCAAAGACTGCATGCTTTTGCATTCCTTTGACTTGGAAACATTAACTTATGGGCAATAATGAAAAACTTGGTCAAAAAACCTAAGTCTAGTGGGGCTTGTGCTTGTCTATTTTAATCAAGTAGGCCATGAATTTATGTCACATTCTCTTAGGGTTTGGCTGTCTCCTACCCTGGAGGTATAGGTTCCCTGCACGGGCATTACAAGGTAATTAAAGGCTTAAAAATTTAGCATACCATTTGCTAAAATCAATTTGCATGCAATTGACCAAAATGAAAATGTAAGGTGCAAAATTGAATTTTTTATATAAATTAAGGGTGAAAAAGAAGTTCCTCTCTTGAAAATGTTTAGAGCATCTTCAAGAGTCACAGAAGACGTCAAATTAAAATACTTTAGTTGCCTTTTAGTTGTGCAAGTTGGTCTGCTTTTGTTGATTGCTCACAATTTTCTCGTAACTTATTTTAATTGTTTTTTTTTTAATAAATAGCTTTGCCTTTTGTTGTTTTTTGTTTTTTTGGTTAAAAGAAATTTTCAAACACCCACTAGTGATTGACTTTTGACTTGGAGTTGTCAATTCAAGGATGACATGTTTTTAAAAGCATCTTTATCCATTTACCTAAGGCTTATCGGGAAAATTAAAAAAAAAAACACAAATTTACATTTTTCAATTATATTAGCACAGTATTTTCAATATTAAACAAAAAATATACAAACTAAGCTTATATTAACCACGTTAGCAAGCATGAATTTTTTCTATCAAAATTTCAACAAATCGTTAACAACACAATTTCAAAAGTTTTTAGACCAAATTGAACCATCAAGGTCCTCACTCAATCATAGTTAATTGTTAATTAATCCATTTGGTAACTTTTTTTGTCAAAACAATTATCATGTCAGTGGACAATAAAATTTTAGCCGAAAAAAATCACGTATATTAATAAGATTGACATAAGATTAATTTGTGTATTTTTTATCAAATATTAAAAGAACACGTTAATATTATTAAAAAGTATAAAATTTATGTTTTTTGGTTCAATAAACCTTTGTCTAATTGTGGATTTAGAAATTTTATATCTAACAATATGAATAGTTTATCAATCAAATCAAAGATAAAGTACTAAGGGATAAGTTTGATGTTCAAAAGATTTGATTCCTTCTTGAATTTTCTAAGAGAATTTATTAAAAAAAGTTTTCCACTTTAAATTTTTTTCATGCTTTGGCACAATAAGTGTGTGTGGGCTTGTATTTGTGTATCACGTTGGGAGGATTTTCTTTCTTTAAGAAATGTTTAGAACGTTTTAGAAATACCTATTAGCTATGTAACTTGGTCTGTTTTTATTTATTAATTGCTCACTGTTTTTTTTTATATGATTTTGCAAAATTTTCACTTAATTCTGCAAAACATGGAGGGTTCAGATCACACCAAATTGTACCAAAAAAAAAAAAAATGCAATTCATTCGATTTATTAAAGTATATTGTAGTCCTCGAATATTCAAATATCGAGTCTTGTTGAAAATAATTAAACTCTGTCACTTCAATCTCGAACGGAATTAGTTATATTTTTATTGTAAAATGAGAATATTTAAGTTAAAAAAAAAAAAGATATTGTGGAAGCAAATAAAATTTCCCTTAACCTTGGAATTCTAAATTTCAAATGAATGAGATAGTTGATTGAAAAATAATTTAATTTCAATATACCAAAATCAATAAAAAATATATTTATATAATTTAGAAAAGGATGATAAAAGAAGAACACATCTATATTCCAAACAAACATAACGTGAATATGCTTTGTCGTTAGTGGTGGAGAATCAAATAACATATATTTTTTTAGAGCATAATAAAAGTGGATATTTGTGAAGGAGACACGAAGCATGTTTGTGGATATGAACAAATCAATCATCTTTATGCATTATTATTAGTTGTAACTTTTTTTTTCTCTGTTTTATTAATAATTGTTTTCTACAGTCGCAAACTTGCATTTCAATCTTATATGATATTATACTCGACATGTCAAAGAGCTTCCATGTGTATCTTTTTCGGTCGACAATAAAAAAATATTATTAAATTAATTTATGTATCAATCAAAATTAAGTTTATTTTTTTTATTAAACTAGAGGGATAGAATAGGTTTGTATTTTCTATTCTACTATATTCACATCTTAGATATAAGTTATAGGATTAAAATTCTCATAAACTCCTTAGTTTCATATGGATGGTTCATTTTTCATGATGAACTTAATTTTAACGTATGAAAAAAAAAAAAACATGATTGTTTTCTATATAACATCATTTAAGAAAAAAACCAATTTTTTTAATATTTTTTTCACCATAAAAAAATAGTTTACTTTTTAATTTATATTTGTTTCAAAATACTTGTTTTCATATAAAAAGAAAAAACTAAAAAATAAAAAAATAAAAAAAAACTTGAGACAAATTCCATATAAATAAAATTGTGCATCTAGAGGAACACCAGAAGGAAATTTCTTTTATGTTTTCAAAAAGACAATGACATCACATGTCACTTAACTTTATTAAAGAGAGAGGAAAAAACGGAAGTCACCCAAACCTGGAAAAAAATTGAAGGAGCAGAAAGCCACTCCGATTGATGGCTGCGGCGGCGAATAACAACAACAGTAATAATAATTCGGCGGCGGTGGCGGGCGCGGTGGAGGAGGAGGTAGCTCGGGTAGTGGAACAAGCGAAGGAGTTGCAAGAAACCGCTGCTTCTTTAATTGCAAAAACTTCGCATGATGAACAATCTCTTCGCCAAAAAGCTCTTTCTCTTGAATCTTCTATTCGCCGTTGCCGTTCTCTCCTTGACCGCAACAATGACCTCGCTCCAAAATTAGCTGCCAAGGCAATTAGATTGCATGTTTAGTTTCTTTTTTGTGTGTAAATTGGATCTCTTTTGCTTTTTTGATTGATTGAATTTTTTTATTTGTAGCTTGAAGAAGATTTACAGAAAGCAAGATGTATTATAGCTGAAGGAGATGCTTCTGCTTTTCTTCCTTCAAAGCCTCAAGGTCTCCTTTTAGTTTTCTGAAAATTATTGATATTTTTTGTTTTGATTTCGTTTCTATTGATTAAAAATGGTTAATGAATGAATAAAATGGCGGTTTTAATTAATGCGCTGGATCCCATCAGGTCTCCGAAGTTAAACGTGCTTAGGCTAGAGTAATCCATGGAACAAATTAAATAATTGTGGAAATGCTAATGAGATATGTTTTTGATGTTTGCATGCATGCAGGGCGGTTTCTAAGAATGTTTCTGGGACCAATTAATGTGCGTGCGTCTCGCAAAGATGTGCAATTGAAGGTTAAAGAGGAGTATAACAGTTACAGGGTATGCTTTATTTTGTTTTAAATTATCTCTCTCTCTCTCTCTCTCTCTGGGTTAAGTTTGTTGAGAACTTACAGTGTTATATTTCGTTGGGAGCAGGATAGGACTGCACTTTTGTTTCTACTTTTCCCATCGGTTTTACTGTGTTTAAGATCTTGGGTCTGGGATGGGTGCTTGCCTACCTTTCCAGTTCAATTGTATCAGGTAATTGCTTTATTTGAGGAATAGAGATATTCTGTTGACTTCTGCTGATTTCATGCAAGATCAAGTTCTTACATTTTTGGCTGGTGCTTTGATAGGCTTGGCTACTGTTTCTCTACACTGGATTGGCTTTGAGAGAGAACATATTGAGAGCCAATGGAAGTGATATTCGTCCATGGTAATTGCAATCCTGGCTTTTCTGGCTTTCATCCGTGGCCTGAGCTTTGTGTGCTCTTTATAGTGTTTTGCATGCTAAATGTCTATAATTTGAAATAAATTTGAATGAGATGCATTGAAATCAAGAGCTTATTTGGATAAGCAGCAGCACCATGACTATGTTAACTGAACTCATTTCTTTTGATACAAGACTTAAATAAAGCAGTGGAAAATTTTCAAAGACGTTTGAGGCAACGATTTATTTTGGGTAGGTTTGAATATCCTGTATGAGTGGGGAATTTATGAAAGTGCTGTTTAAGTTAGAATTCAGTGGGAGAATTCTTTTTGAGCATTCTGGCATGGCTCAAAATATTGTAGCAACTGGTTCATTGCATTGTGCCATACAAGTAGTTGTTTCCCTAAAAGTTGTCATTGGATCTTGGTTAAGAGGACTTCCAAGTTTACTGTCCTGGAGTCAACCAATCCAAAAAAAAAAAGAAAAAGAAAAAGAAAAGAAAAGAAAAGGGAATTTGAGTAGCAAAGCATAACGTTTCATGGTGCTTGGTACTTGTTCCTGGATGGTGGGTTCTCAGTTTTAGATGCATGTAGCAGTCCCATGAACTAGTATTTTCTGTTCTTTTGAAGAACTTGCTTAACTTCTGTCATTTTGTAGAGTCATAACTTTTGAGCATTAGAATCTGAACCATAAAGTTTGTGAAGATTGGTAGAGTTATGACCATAGATGCGTAGAACAACCACTCTTCATAGCAGAAAGACTGTTGCCATATGAAGATGTCCTTCTAGGCCTATTGTTGGCCTTTAATTAAGTATCTTGCTAGTTTTTTACCATATTCATATCCTCTGTAAGAAGCATAAACCTTAGGCATTTACCGTATTTTTTGAGTTTCCACTACATGTTTCGAGGCCAGGACAATTCAAGTTGCAGAGATGTCAAACCATGGATCAAGATAAGAAACTTAGAAAGCGTTCAAAAGGTTTTGCACCTAAAGAAATAGGTGAAACCTTAATTTTTCATTCCCCTCTAAAAACTGACAATAATATTTTTACTTGGAGCAAAAGCTCAGTTTTGTGTTCTAGAAACTAATCATTTATAGACTGTTCTCCTGTTAGTATAAAGCCTGTTCTTTTTTTTTTCTGACGCCTCTTTTCTTGTGTGGTTGAAAAACTTGATCTCGGGTTCCATTTCTCCTTTCAACACCCTCTTAGAAACATGTTTGAAACATGATCAAAGCATATATAATGTGGAAAATTCTGCTGAAGACCTTATAATTTTCAGCCTAGTTTAAAAACCATTCCCTAGGTATGGTCTAAGCAGGAGAATCTCAAGTGGGTTGCAGCTTAGACTTATAAGCACTTTAATTTTCAGCTCTGCGGTTTATGTGGCTTTAGTTTTCCATTCTTCTTGGCTATTTCTGCTGAATAGTTTTGCTCTCACGTTAGGGTTATTCTTGTTTCAGAGTATTCACAAAAACGTGATGTTCATCAATATGCATGGAAATGCCAGTTTTGTTAGTTAGTATTGTCTCCTGAACTAGCAGAAGGATATCTCAACAAAGCAGATAATATGCTTTTGCAGGTGGATATACCATCACTATTGTGCTATGATTATGGCCCTTGTTAGTCTCACATGGGAGATTAAAGGACAGCCGAATTGCGCTCAAAAACAGGTTACTGTTTTCCCATTAGATTCTAAATGCATTTGCTGTTTGTGTTTGTTAACCATTCCTTAAATCTTGCACAGAGAGGGGTACAACTGTTCTTGCAATGGGCCATGATGCAAGGAGTTGCAATGCTTTTGCAGAATAGATATCAACGCCAGAGACTCTATACTCGTATCGCATTGGGAAAGGTATCATTTTAAAATCACTTGTATGCCCCACAAAGCATCACTGGATGCTTTACTTTTGGTGCAGTCTGTTTCCATGTTTATTCTTGTGAAGTGTGTGGTTTATTGAAGCTTGTTTACAGGTCTGATGTGCAGTATAGAAGTTGTCTCTACTTTAGATGCATATTATTTAGCACATTATTGTTTCAATCCTTTTAGTTAATTGTTATTTCAGGCTAAGCGAATGGATGTTGTCTGGGGAGAAACAGCTGGTGTGGATGGGCAATTGTGGCTGTTGTGTCCTATCCTCTTCGTTTTGCAGGTATTTATGCTACCTCTCAACTGTTGTTCTCATATATAGATGAAACAGGACTGCTCTTTGCATCTTTCTTCTAATCATAAGCATAGACCTACTCTACTCATAACATTTTTTTGCCTCTGATAATTTTGTACGTCCCTTTCGCCTCTACTCATAATGTTCGATAGCAATTGAATATCATAGTACAAACATGAACTCATTCCAGTCTGGTTGGCAAAGGCTGTCGTTTTCACAAAATTACATTGGTGGGTTAAGAAATGAATGTTCTTTTGCTGTGAAATCGAGTTTCATGCAAAGACATGCTACTTGAATGAAGTAAGCTAAGGAGTACAGTGAAGAACTTGTTGGAAACAATTCTATACTAGAATTGATTTCACTGCTTTAAGTAGATTGAATTGAATGGATTCTCTAATTGAATTCTTAGGTTTTGGCATATGTTTTAAAATTGTGGTATTCATTTGAGTTGAGCTACTAGAAATACATCATTCACCCAAGTTGCCCTCTTCCCCAAATCGTCATTTTTTTTGTCTTAACTGATCCCTCTCATTTATTGTTGTGATTAAAGAGAGTGAAAGAGAACACAGGCAATGGCTATGGCTGGTATTCTGGACTACATGGCCAGGAAAAAGAAAGAACTCTTTCTTTAAAATCTCAAATACAAATAATAATAATCCCTTATAGCAGATAGCAGTAGTAGTCCTTAAATTGTTATGTAAGCCCTCATTAAAGAAATCCTAGCCTTCAATATAAGTTAATCTGAACCATCATAAAATACCCAAATAAAATACTTCATAACAAAACTAGAAAAGGAATATGACTCCAACTAAAAGAAACCTGCACCTTATCATGCTATAGTAGCGTGCTAAAGTACCCAACAAACTTAACATTCCACTTTGTTGTTGCTCCTGCATTGTTTATACTGCCACTTCCATCTAAATTTTATTTTGTTATTTGAACTTAACCAAAACCACAGCTAGTGTTCTACCTGCCAAGCCTCCACAATAACACTTCATCAGATATATATATTTTTTTCTTTTTGAGAAATTAACATCCAACAAAATCATTAGTATCACTACCACTAGCAACTTGATCATCAAAAGATCCTGATTGCCACATATAGGATGCCTCTATCATTAAAAGTAAACCCATTGTATCGATATTGAATGGCAAGTGAAAGAAATTCATTCTAACAAAATCATGACTACCACCTACAAAATAAGCTCAAAATTAATTCACTTTGACCATCTTCCCATTCTCCAAAGGTTTGGAAAATGTTTAAGCAATTTTCTTCAACTCATCTTTTAAGGTTCTGGTTTTTTTGGTTGTGAGTATACAATGAGAAATTTTGGAGATCAAAAATGTGTCTTTGGGACAAGATTGGTGTTGGAGGAAAAAAAAACTTTGCAAAGCAGATGAGAAGGGTGTTTTAGGGATAAAATTTGTAATGGTCAATTCTGAAGCAAACTGAATCCCTTTGGATGTGCTTAATGATCAATTCTAGTGGTGCTATTTGCAATCGTATGGAAATTACTGGTTTTAACGGGTTGTAGAATTCTATCAGCTGCTTAGAGCTTTCCAAAAGCTGGAATTGGGTTAATGTTGTTCAATTGATCTCATTTCTACCAAATTCTAAGGTTTCAAAATGGGCTGGAAATTCTAGTTTAATCATGAGTGGCTCATTTGAGTTGGCAGACTTTGCGCTTCTTCAACAAAGGATCAGCTATCATCCTCTTCAGTTGCACTTTTGTTTGAAGGAAATTGACAAAACATTAGGCTTTTCAAATGATAATGCAATTAGTATGTCTACTACTAGCAAATTTAACTTCCGAATTGTTGAAGTATGCATGATGGCCTGAGTTCATTCTTGATTATATTGTATATGTGTTTCTGGATCCAAGTTTTGACCTGAATAGTTTTGTGTGCTTCTGGACTTCATTTAGGGTTTTGAGGCATATGTTGGACTACAATTACTCAGGACTGCATTCAATGGGGTCACCTCTGAGTGGCAGGTGCACTTTTTTGAACTTTCTTTGCCCCATTTTAAGATAGTTTCTGCTATCTAGCAATCTGCATTCATACAAATTTGCAGCATTCAATTTAGTGACAAAATCATTTTATGGCAGGTTATTTCCTGTGGTGTCCTTTTGGTTTTCATGGCAGTTGGGAACTTCTTAAACACAGTACAGACACTAATGGTGAAATCAAGGTTTAAGGCAAAAATGAAAAGAAGTAAGAGCAAGCAGGAATTGGATTGAGGCACTTCTAACCTTTAGGACTACTCCTTCCATTCTCTATAGAATCTCAATTTTGGAATGTTCTTTCATGGGTCTTGAAACATGTTTTGTTGAAGCTGAGGCAATGAAAATTTCATCTTATGGTCTTCATTTCATCATACCCTTTGCCGTTAATGTGTTTATACCTCTCATCCCAATCGTCGAGCCTGGCCATGAAGTGAACTTGATTACTCATAAAGATGGATGCAAATGGTCAGCAATAATACCCCAAGTTATGTCCTATGTCTCCTGTATTCCACTATTTGGCTTTAGTTTTGAGATAGATTTCAAAGTTTTTTGAGTCTCACATGATGAAAGTGTGGTTCTTTTATCCTTGACAAGTTATTTACGAAGTTATCATAGAAAAATTCTCTTTGCTTGTAAAGCATGGGAAAATATTGCTTTTTTTATTTTTTCCATTCTAAAACTGCGTGTCCTGATTTGGCAATCTGGCAAATGCAAATGCTTTGACAGGAATCATTAATGATTGGTCTGACATTAATAAAGTCGATGCCATCTGCGAGTTAATGAGAGATGGTACAAAATGTTCTTTCTTTGCACGTGGAACTCACTACTCATCAACCTTGTTGAAATTTTGAATTGTTATCCTCAGAATGGAAAGTGGGATCTGTGAAATCCAGGAAGGAGGCAGTCAGAGAATTTCAGGACATGGTCTTGTATCATTTGGACTTATTGGGTTGAAATGATGGTGTTCTTGGGCGATGATTGAGAAATCTGAATAGGGTTTAGCATAACTTGCTTGAAAAAGCAACCTATTTGCCAATTTGACAAAAGCTGCTTGCTAAATTTTGCGGCTGAGCTGGTTGTCTCTTTGATTGTTCGTGTAGGAATATTCCCTCTTTTCTGTCCAAGCCCTTAATTTCCAAGCATTTCCCAGATAATAATTGTTCTTACTGGAAACTAACAAGTGATGTGACCTTGCTTGAAGCTTTAAAATGGCAGCTTCATTTATTAGCAATCATTGTGGAAACCGACAGGCCTGTTGTAAAGCAAAGGCCTGTGCAACCAATGTGAAGGAATGGGCCAATTCTCTTTGGGCTGAATGGTATTTATTACCCATGTGAAACCCTATGAGCAAGCTAATTAGGATTCCATTGTCTTCATCCAATCTGATCTCATTTTTTAGCTTAATTTAGGAAGAGAAACATGTGCGTAAAATGAGATGAATAAACCCTGAAAATATTTAACATCCTAGCAGCAACCAACAGTCACAGGTATTGGATACTGACTAGCTAATGCATGGACCACGTCGCAATCTTACCACGTTAAACTTTGCAATGCATCTATAAATGATTTATTTAATTTAATTGGATCTTGAGAAAAATTAAATTGGCCTGCAAACTTTCATTTTCTTTCATGACAATTGAGTGAACTGATTTTATCATTGCTTTATTTGCAACATATTAAAGGATCATTTTATTTAAAAGCTTAAGTTGATGGGTGAGGTCTAGAATATAATTTATATTAGTTTCTAACATATTCGCTCAAGTGAAAGCTTCAATATTTGATCTTGAAACTTAAACAGATCCATATTGCATTATGTTTAATACTTAAGAAATTGAAGATTGTGAGATTTGAATTCAAGATCTCTTAGTCAAGCAAACTTTGATACTATATTGAAGGATATCTTTAGTCTCTAACACAGCAAAATAACCTTTAAAGCACCTGAAAAAGTAAGTAAAATTAGCATCTTTGTGTGTGGTCCTTCTCTGTAGGGTTCCTAGCAGCTGCAGCCTGTTATGATTTGTTCATCTTCAGCATTTTGTGATCATGTCTACAGTCAGAAAAGAAGAGAGAATGTACTTCATATGTGATCACTTTTAGCTTATAGAATAAGAGCATTACGGCCGTTTTGTTCCTTCTACAACTTTATGGCTTTTTCCCATTATAAATAAACAAATAACTTGAGGAATACGGTAACCCTATAGTTTAATAATAAAAAAAATAAAATTAACTGAGTCATTATTGAAAAAAACATAAGTTAAGTATTTCTCTACTCCAAGCAAATCAAAGTAGGAAAAAGAGGGGGGAGAGAAGAGAGAGAAGAGGGGGAGTCATGGTTAATGCATGTTCCTTCCATTCTTCTTTATTTCACCCATCCCCACTCTATCTCCTATATTCTTCCTTTCTGAAAAATAAAATGTTTTAAAAACTACGTAAAAGAACAGTCCAGGCTGGGTTGTGCTTTAATTATGTGTTCATAAATCCTACCCAAGTGCCAGCAACACCAACCAGGCTACTCTTTCCCATGTGCTGAGCCATTTATATATATATGTTGGTTTGTGCATTATTATTTTTAGCTTAAATCTGCCAAAACTAAAATAATCACCGAATACCTTTTTTTTTTTTTTTTCCGTATAGATGCTTGAATATGATTTCATGCATAGTGTACTATATGATATCATCATTGGATACTTCAATTTTTTTTTAAAAAAAAGTATTATACGCAATAATATATTCTGTATTAGATATGAAGTTAATTTGTCTCTTTATATTTATCTATTTTTTGATACTCAAAATCATCGGATTAATTATTAATTAACTCAGTGCAGTCGGAAAATTTAAATTTTGGAAACTCAATTATTAGGGTTTTTCATCATTTAAATATTTTGGTAATGGAATAATTAAATTAACAATATCTCATAATTGACAATGTTTTGCATATGAATGGTAATAAAGGGGATGATGAAACAAAAAGAAGGCATGAATAAGTTAATGGGAAGAAAGAAATAATTAGAAAGGAAAGGATGAACAAGTGGGAGGAATGTGTTGATGGGAACGAAAAATAGCAAAGCACATGGGTGGGTAGGGCATGTCATGTTGTTTTGATGTAAAGATTTATAAGATAAGTGGATTAGAATAGAGGGAAAGAAAGAGAGATATAGAGAAACCCATGTTTGTTTGCTAGTTGGAAAATGTGGATGTGTAGTAAGTGGGGAATTATGGGAAAGCAATTTCTTCTACATGGCTACCCACATTTGTTGCTGATGCTTCATGTCAAAATGCAGACCCCCATTATTACATTGCCTTGCAGCAGCTCTTGCATTTTCTAATATTTCCCAACTCTTTTTCTTTTTTTGCGATTACGTCTTTTCAATCCGTTAAACAATCTCAGATCACATTAGATGTATATGAAAAACAAGTAGAGCCATAAAACAACAATATTTATCTTATGTTAGAACTTTCATGATATATATTATTATTTTAATACTTTTACGTATCTTTTATATTAATCTAAAATTAGTCAACGATATGAAAAAAACTTAATTATAAGATAAAAAAATTGAAGATCTAAATAAATAACTAAAAATTAAAAACATTTTTCCTTTAACTAATAATTCAGATTACTTTATAACCAATCTAGAGTTTACTTTAAATTATTTATATTTGAAATGACGTAATATTTGCTAGAGATTTCTCTCTCAAATCTCTCCTACTCATTTGAGATGATAGTTAACATGAGGAATATTCAAGGATCACTACAAATTTGAATACGAGTAATATAATAAATTATTCTTTGAAATAAATTACTCTTTGAAATTTAGAGGATTGCTTCTCAATATTATCATCCAAAATTTATATAACTAGTGGAGACGACAAAAAAAAAAGTTTTTATTTATTTTAATGATGATTTCGATCATATATAGATGACATTTTTAAGACAAAATATAGCTAATGTTAAGATGAAAAAAAAAAAAAACTAGTATAATAAATGAACTCATTCTCTCTCCAGTTAATTAAAGGATGTAACTACACTCTTTGTGCATTTTTTTTTTTTTGGCCATCATTGTTAGATGTACAACCAATAAATTGTTGGCTCAAGGATGAGTGAATTGATACAAATGAATTTTTCGTCAATGTACGGGATTCGAATTATAAAATAATACTTGTTGAAAGGGATTAAGAATTATCGCTTCCGTCTCAAACATAATTAGTCCTATCTTTTGGGATGAAAATATCTCGAAAAAACAAAAAGAAAAATAAAATAAAATTGGACCACTGAAATTCAGATTCCTAACTTCATTTCTACCCTACAGAAAGAAAGTAAGAGTGATACATGAGTTCCTTGCTTATTAAATGGTTAATGTGTGCTGAGATTTTAAAGTGTTATCAATAATAATTAGAAAAGTACTCCATCAACAGCTGTTTTGATTGGAAATACATTATTTTGTTTGTAATTTAATAATGTTTGAATGTGCCAATGATATTGTTTGTCCCCAAACAATGATAGTGTAAGATTTTTCCTTAAAGAAATATTATCGTACAATAAACATTGTTAATTATTCTTTCTAATTATATATCATATCTCCTTCTCCATTAAAAGTACTAAAAAAATAGCCTATAAAATAAAGTTACTAAACAAATTAGATGAATAATTATTTGTATTAATTAAATCCAGCTAGAACACCCCAAGAAACGCCCACTAATATTCATTAATGGGAACCAATTATTAATATTATTTTGCAATGACGAAAGTTGTCAAAAAAAATATTTTATTTGCAAATCATCATATAATTAAATAAGAAATAGGGACCTAACTCATTAATTTGTTTACCTTTCATAGGTATAGCAAACTTACGCAGTTAAAAAATTTATTATGTATCGAATATATAAATAATACACAAATAATATATAAATTTGAGAATGATTTATCTATCGTAAGATTTAAATTTTTTTAGATGCAATCCAAACTCAATTATGTAATTGATAAATATAATATTAAAGGTCTAACAATGCACTAAAAATCTTGAAACTCAAACTACTTGAGAGATCTAAAAGATAAAATCTTAAAACTCAAATCACTTGAAATATCACAAAAGATGAGCTCAAAGAAGTCTAAACTCTAACGATCTAGTAAAAATTATGAAATTCAAACCAATTGAAATATTTCAAAAAATGAACTGTAAATGAAGAAGAGTGTTAAAAGAAAAGATATCTCATATTAAATATCTAAACAACGAGATAAGAGGTAAATAGATCAATATATCCTTATATAATAGCCTAATTCTCCAAAATGTTTTTATATTTTTAATTACATCTATTATTTAAGTGTCTAATTTGTTATTTAGATTAATTTTTTCGACCATGAGATTTTTTTTTTTACTGAAATGCCTTTGATTAAAATGCAAAGAAAAAAATTTTAAAGACTTTGAAAATAGAAACATACAAGTCATGAATTTGAATGATTTTTTCTTTTTTGTTTTTTTACACATTTCAATTGTGAATTTAGAGAACTTTTATATATATATATATAATGAAAACTATTTAATCATTCAGAACTACATATAATTTTTTTAAATTAATTAAGTATCTATGGCAATGTTATATAAGTCCACCCCAAAAGTAGAAAAATAGATGAAGTATTATTATTAGTAGAGAAATAGATGGGGTGTTGTTATTAGCTTTATTGGTGTTTTTTCAAACAAAAATACTAGTAAATTTGAGGTAGGTCATCTATATATATTCAAATAGATAACTCCTAATTAGTTAGGTTTGAGATAGATCATTCACATAAAAAATAATATATTCATAAAAAATTTCCTTCTCATAATCTCTCGATAAAAAAAATTATTAATTCATGCTAAGAAGCATAAAATCACTGTAATATTTTGTATTCACTATGATTAATTAGCTTCATTAATTAGATGGAACTTTGAGGACATAAAATGATAAGATCAATATAGAATACATTCTTTTAATATTGATTTAATTTAAAAAATAATATATTTAATTTTAATAGATACAAAAATTGATTCAGAAGATTTACCGACACTCTCGACAAAACATTCGGCAGTGGCTTTACTCGACAGGTGCACAGAGAACGTACGATAATGTGCATGCCACCAGGAAATACATGTTTCATAAAATAATTACAAATAATCAAATTCCCCTTTAATTTGTGGTTCCTTCTAAAAATGCCAATATTTCACATAATTTTATTTATTTTTTATACTTAAAATTTCACAAACTTTTTGTAAATCTTGTAAAATTTCAGGACCGACTCTCATAATATATATGTGGTTAATTTTCTTTACGAATTTTGTCTATCACATGCACATATCTTTATAAAATATAATAAATATCTTCTCAAAATTATATATAAAATAATTTTTGAACAATTGGAAACTATATTTCTCACTAATAACACCAAATGAAATGGCTCTGCTTGTGCTCTAATGGAGTATGATGTTGTAAGTGCCTAGTCCACTCCAACACCAGATTAAATCCTTAAAAATAATTAGAGAGGGTTAAACAATAGTATTTTCTGTTTAAATATGTGATCAAGAATTTAACATAAGCAAGAAGGGAATAATTATTGTAATAAAAATCAGTATAAGAATATTGCTGAAGTAAAAAGGAAAAAAAAAAAAAAAGGAGTTTGATTACATTATCAATGAAGGCCACCCAATATTCTTCATTAGGCTCCCTAATGCAAAGCAAAAGAAAGTAATTAAGCAATGCTAATTAATAAAAGACATTAATTAATTAACATGAACTGCTTCTCCTAATTATGGCTATATGATCACAATTACCAGCATGCATATGCTCTAATTAACTTGTATAAGTTATTTCTCTCACTCCACATCTTCTTCTCTGGGCTGCTTCTTTGATTGCTAGCTGCTGTCTTCTGTCTGATCTCTTGGATGATGTCGATGATGACATGAATGATGACTATGCTGTTGCTGCTATCTCTTATTTTGGTCTTCCTTAATCAATCCTCCTGTTTTGTCTTGAACAAACAGGTCCTTTATTCAACAACAAATCAATAAATTGAAAAGAAAAAGTGATACAAATAGTGATGATGATTGCCATGCAAAATGGCATTTCACCTTAACAATGCTATTATGGTGAAGAAGGAGAAAAGAAAAGGGAAAGGAAAGGAAAAGGATTGATAAGATACAGGATGAGGAAAGAATTTATGGGGTGAATGGAAATGGAATTAAAGGGAGGGAAGAGAAAAAAAAAAAAAAAAAGGGAAGATTTTTTTTTAAGGTTGTGTCAGGCTTAGAACTCAAATATTTGTTAGATATCTTTTGTTTGATTTGAGCTTCGGCACACATAGGTACATATGGTACACTTTGGGGATCTGATGATATTGCCAATGGCACTATTGAACCATGGCCAAAAAAGAAGGCGCCCCATTCCCTCCTCCATTGGTGGCATTGCTTGTGTTCTGCCTTTGAAACTCTATCTTGTATGCCACTTTCCCCTCCTCCTGTAATGCCTCATCATCTTCATCATCTTCATCACCTACGTCTTCCTCATCATATTCATCTTCATTTACGTTTTCACTGTCACCTTCCTCCATCTTATCGTAGTCATCCACCACTAGCTGTTGTTGCTGATGATTTTGATGTTGCCGTTGGTGTTGAGTCCCCTGCTGTTTCATCAACTCCTTCACGATGTCTTCTGGCTTCAATATGAAAGCAAGAATCAATGGGCTTCAAATAACTGAATATTGATTACTTCAGGCAGTATAACTATAACATTACAAGTTTTTTTTTTTTTTGAACAAAACTAAGGTTTACCTTTTTTGCTCCATTTCCTTCTCCAAAGAGACTTCCTGGTAAACCTGTACTGCTTGCTTGAACATCAACACTTGCCCCATTTTTATTTTGTGATTCTGTGGGTTGTGTCTGTGGTGGTACTGCCTGCTGCATTGGAGGTGGCGCTGGATCCAATTTTAAGCCCTCTTGCTGCTGTTGCTCCTGTGGCCTAGTTTGGCTGTCAAAGCCACTACCGGAGGTGCTTCCACCAACACCACCACCACTGCTGCTGCCTATTATCTTTTTCCTGTAAAGGGCATCAAGTTCATGAAAATAAGGGCAGGTCTTGGCATCTTCTGGCCGTTTCTTGTTACTTTCTTTAACTTTCTTGAAATACTTGTTGATATTCTCCCATTTCTCTTTGCATCTCTTGGAACTTCTTCTATAGCCCAGCTTTTGCATTCCTGTCGAGATTTCTTCCCAAAGTGGTCCCTTAGGCCCAGCTTCTTGGTATCTAGTTTCAAGCCCACTTCTCAACTTAATAAGTGCAAGAACTTCTGCCTTTGGCCATCTTGATGATGCTGGTTCGCTCCCACTGCCCCCACCACCACTTCCAAATTCCTGTGGTGCTACTTGTTGTTCTGGGACAGCCATTACTATATCTGAAGAAATGGGTGGTTGATGTTGATGATGAACTTGATGGTGCTGCTGCTGTTGATGTTGTTGTTGTTGGGGTAGTGGTTCTGGCTGTTGTTTATTTTGTTGTGGTGTTACTTGTGACTGAGGCATAGGTTGCGGTTGCGGTTGTGGTGGTGGTGGTGGTGGTTGTTGTTGTTGTCTTGAGACAGTGACCAATGGCGCTAATTGAACCGGTTGTGGCTGTGGTGGTGGTGGTTGTGAAACTGGAGGAGCAATTGATACAGGCGTAGGCAAATGAATAGTTTGGCCAGTAATTTTCTGTAGAAAGGAAACAATAGCAGCATCTCGACTTGCAGAAATAGCCCGTTCTTGAGCCATAATCTCATGTTCATGACTCAATCTAACCATTTCTTGCCTTTTCCAAGCTTCATCCCTTATCATCCTATCTTGTTCCCTCTTCTCGATCGCCTCCAAAAATCTCTGTTGCATTGCCTCTTGCTTTTGCATCACCTGCTTCATTAGCCCCTCAAAAAACTCCATCATCCTGTGAGTTTCTCCTCTAGATGATGATAATGATGCCCTTTTACGTTTTCGACTAGTACCAGCAGCCATGCCTGATGGTTGTCCTCCTAATATATCTTCGTCGTCGTCGTCGTCGTCGTCGTCGTCATCTTCAGAACTTGGAGAAGAAGAAGACCCATTCGACGAGAAGCTAATTCCAACAGGGGCACCTGCAGCCGGAGCGGCAGCAACTGCAGGCACCACTGTTGCCCCGAAATCAGGAGGAAACATGGAGCCAATATTTGAAGCTGGTTGAGGTACCTGAGAAGAAGGTGGAGGAATTCTAAAAGAAGATGAAATAGGCATAGGAACCCCAACGGAAACAGGAGCAACGTCTAGGCTGCTTGTCGTTGTCGTGCCTATCGGCTGAGGAGCAGCACCGGACACATTGACGATGCTAGGAGAAGCACCACCAGTACTATGCAGTGCTTCGAGCTGGCTGAAAAACCTGTAGCTTTTCCCATCTTGACGACCAGCTCTTCCTTCCTTTGTTCTTTTGTAATACTTGTGCACGTTCTCAAACTTTTCTTTACATTTCTTGGCACTTCTCTTGTATCCCAACTCTGCTAGCTTCCTGTTCCATCATGCTTTCATATTTTATTACCAGAAGTAGTGCTGGTTTTCAATGATAAAACAAAAAAAAATTTCCAATGATCCAATGATACAAAATATACCCTTTTTTGCTTATGCAATACAAATTCTGACCTTCATTTAAATCTAATAAAGAAGAAGATGATGCTATCTCTCACTCACTTTCATAGCTATAGGCCCACTGACCTCTTCTGCCCTTTCCATACCACTTATCTAATCTTTTTAATAAGTGCAGAGAGAGAAAGATAAAAAAATATATATACATAAAAGAAAGTTGCTTGTTTTAATAGTAAAATAAAAAAAAAATTGATTTTATTCATATTCTTCTTGGGATTTTCAATTTTTCTTCCCATTGAAATTAACAAGAAAAGGAAAGAGAGTGAAGGGTTATAAGCTAATTGGCTAGAATTCATGCAGTGAATCAGAGCCAGCCAATTTCTTACGAATTTTTTTAGAGAAAGAATTGTTTTTTATAGCAAAAATAAAGATGCCAAACTCGTGAGTCGTGATGGAAAGAGATAGAAGCCATGTGCTTCTGTTTACAGAATGAAAGAGAAATGGAGATCTGAACAAACTAGAGAAAAATGATATCAAAATGATTATTTTGATTTCTATTTCTTACCCAGAGAAAGGAAAGAATTATAGGAAAAATGCAAAAGGGTTATTGTTATTATCTTATACCTTGAAACATCCTCCCATAGAGGACCCTTTAAGGTGGCATCACGAAAAGCAGCATCCATTTCAGACCTAATTTGCAAAAGGGCAAGAGTTTCTTGCCTTGGCCACCTATTGCCACTAGCAATACCTCCTGTTCGATCTGCAATATCTTCTCCAGCAATATCTTCTTCTGCACCACCACTGCCTGAAAGTCTCATAAATTCATCTAAATTCATAACACCGCCACTTGTAGCAGCAGCAGTGGCTGGAGGTCTGCTGCTTATGGGCGATGCTTCTTCTACTACTTGCTGCTGCTGCATGTGGGTTGCTAGTGCAGTAGATGTAGAAGAAGGTACATCACCTTGTTCTTGTTGGTGTGGCACACCATATTGTGGCTGTGGCTGTGACGACCCTCTTTCTCCACCTCCTTGTTGCATCCTTGAACTTGGATTCTCTCCACTTTTCTCGATATTAAATTTGTAATTCTTGAAGTTGAGGATCTCTCTTCATCTATGATGATAATTCAGCATGTAATGATTTCCCGATCCCTTTGTCCCCTCACTACAGAGAGGAAGGCTTAAGGGAAAATGAGACAATTCAGAGATACAGAGAATTGGGAGAGGAAGAAAGAGAGAGAGAGAGAGAGAGAAGAGAGCAAGGGAAGTTTTGGTGAAAGATGGAGCTGATGTTAAAAAGAAAGGGAAAAAAAAAAAAAAGAGGCAGAGAGTAGACAACTGGAAAAGATAAAATAAAAGCCAAGAAAGAAAGAATTCCTATGAGTTAGTGCTAGCTGCTCCCTTCTTCATCAGATTTGATTTTTTCTTTTCTTTTTTTCAAAACCCCTCTCTCTTTTTTTTTTTTTTAATCCAAGAAATCAAAACAAAATAAAAAGAAGCCAGCAGTCAAGAAGAAGGAGAAGGGAAAAAAAAGAATTAGAAGGGCATAATCATCACCATCATCAACTGCACTGCACAACTGGTACAAAGCATGACAGTGTAAAAAAAAAAAAAAGGGGCGGGGGGGGGGGGGGAATGAAAGGATGGGGCTAGAGAGAGAAAGAGAAATGAATGGAGATGACAAATTATGAGGAAGTTGATGATTAAGAGAGAGAAAGAGAGTGTGTGTTGTGTGAAATGATAAAACAAATGAGATGCTGTGTTGTCAGCAGCTCTCTCTCACTTTGCAGCTAATAATTGCTTACGACCATTTTTTATTTCCTTCATCATTATTATTTCTATTTATATTTATTCAAGATAATAAAAGTTTTATCTATCCAATGTATTTGATCCTTTTCAATTGTGAGATGGATTAAGATAAAAGCATTTCCTGAGGGTAAAAATCTTGGAAATGTGTGTGATTTTCTTTTCCTTGGGGCTAAGATGGAAGTATTTCTTAAGGGTACATTTTGATTCAAATCTCATTGATTACCTACTTGATTTTGCAGTGGTAATTACAGAAATTTTCCTTTTAAATACACTTGACAAAATATATATATAAAAAAAAAATTTCATGCCAATATTGTCATGAAAAATACAATGTATTTTGCTATTTTTAATGTTTGCCATCTTTCAAAAAAAGAATTAAAGCAAAAATCTCTTCTAAAATTATATGATAACTATTAAGTTGTGAAGATTGATGTAGATGTGATTTATAATTTAGAACGCTACGCACACAACGAACATCACTTGTATTTGAATCCGTCGCTTGATAATTATTATTCATTACTTAATAACTCGTTAAGTTGTGGAGATTAATGTGGATATAGCCCGCAGTTTAGAACGCTACGCATACGATGAATATCACTTGTATTTGAATCCATCACCCGATACTCGTTAAGTTATGGAGGGTGATATAGATGTAGCTTGCGGTTTAGAACGCTACATATGCGATGAATATCACTTGTATTTGAATCGTCACTTGATAAAATCATAATAAAAAAATCTTAGTCCAGCCATGGAGTAGACATAATTGTTGAACCACGTAAATTTATGTGTTGTTTAATTATTCTTGTCTTTCTATTCTATTTTCTTACTTGATTCATATTCTAACAATAATCTATTGTAGACATTGAGTTTATGTCGATGGCAATTAATTAGTACCAAACAATGGGAATGAATCATTAATTGTAGAGTATAAAAGACTATAATTTATTTTCCAAGCATAATCACTTTAGAAAATTAATTAAACTCTAGTTTTTTTTTTAATCGAAAGTTCTAATAAATGTTAAGTGAAGTTATATAATGACTGATTTATCGAAAGTTCTAATTGATGTTAAGTTAAGTTATATAAAGACGATCGATCAATTCGTTTACTTTTTTAAATCTTACATCACCTTAAGAATTTAATCAAATCATAATGAGTTTAAATTGAACAAATTACATGTGATTTGTTTAATTATTGAAAAGATAAATTTAATTTTTGAGAGCGTAACTAATTGGATGTAGTTAGAAAAAAAGTAATGGCAGAAGTGGGGGAAAAAATTGAAAAGGAAAGCTCAAGGGATCAGCACACAATCAGTCACCCCACAAGTACACACCCATCACCTCATCTCTGAGATTAAAATTCTCTGCAAACCATCTCCATTTTCATCTCCAACAATGTTCAACAGCTACCTACCAATTCCACTGGCATTGACGTGGCCATGTCCAATTGGGACCTTTGCTTTAACTTTATCAAAATTGGCAATGCCATATTCCCCTTACCCAACAAAGAACCACACCAGATTCTTTTCTCTTTTGATTTTTTTTTTGTAAAATTCAATTCAAACTCAGTATTATTTTATTTTCCTTTTTTAATGTGTTTTCTTTGTAAGAGGTGAGCTGGACAAACATGGAAACATAAGAATCAGAATATGTACGCTCCAACTTAACCATAGTTCAAAATTAACCCAACCAAAACCAACCAAATCGGGCTAAAATGATTGTTCATTAGTTCTACACTATTCACCAATTCTAGACACACCTTAACTAGCCGTTTGTTCTTGTTATGTAATAACTACCAAATGAAAAAAATTGTTAGTATATGGATAATCATAATGAGGTGCATCCATTCGGTATTTGAATGTATTACATATGTCTCAATCGATCAATAATTATTTAAAAGTAAATACATGTATAATAAATCATGTAAGATTGTTCTTGTTCTTTATATGTGTGCTTTGTTGGAAAAAATAAAAAATCATATATTATTGATATATTCACTATTTTAATTATATTTTATGTTAATAAAACAATTATTGACATTATTTAATGCAAGATGATTGATTTTGTATCTATATATCTCTAATTCGGTATTTGAAAGTATTACGTATGTTTTATATAGTAAACAATTGTTTGAATGCATTGTATATATTCTATTTAATTGTTAATATACGATATAATCAGTCGTGTCTCTATGCTAATTTTGTTAAAAGTGGATTTAAAAGATGCTAGGTGCAAAGCTCTAGGATCAAAATGCTTTTAAGATCCTAGGCAAAACCCATTAACTTAGCCACGCTTTAAACATGCGCTTTATATGCCTTGAGCCTAATTAGAAAGTGTATTTTTTTGCATTTGAAATAATTTTTATGTATTTATAGTTTTATTACTGATCTTTTCAAGAATGTTTATTTATTTATTTATCTATTTATTATTTTAATTTTTTACCATGACTAAAAACATAGTTGTTTTCTTTCATAAGTTATAAAATAAAACATATTAAATTAATAGTAATTAATGATATTTCATAGATTTTAATATAGAAGTTAAAATAAGTATATAGTTTAGTAGACCACAAAAGATAAGGGATTAGGCTCTCACTCGAGTGGTGTAACATTTGGACTTACAATCTTTATACAACAACACAACATTAGATAATTTGTTTTTTATTATTGTGATTTTTTTCCTCATGTGTTTTCTTGTAATCTATTTAATATAAATAATTATACATGTTACAATAAAGGTAACACCTTGCTTCACTTAGCCACATGCTTTTGCTTTGGCTTTACGCCTTACTCTTGTCAAAAAAATCTCAATAAAAAAACTTTAAACTATTATGTGAGATTCTAAAAATAGTTTTATATTACTCTTTAACACACCATCTCAAGTAAAAAGCCTCTTAGACTTGAAACTTGCATAGACTTACAACTGCTTTATACTCAATCCCGTTTTTAATTATCATATCAAAGAATTATCTCAATTTAAAAGTTTAAATTATTAGGTGAGATTTTAAAAATAATTTTATATTATTCTCTAACAACACCTAGCCTTTAATAGGCCTTAGCACTTAAGTCCGCTAAGAGCTTTTAAAAACATTGGTTAGATATTATTGTGTCGTCTGTCGAGACAAGCTGTGAAGGCACCTAAGATGATTGTGTTGGAGTAATATATGTTAATGAAGGAGGAGGCACAATCTATGGTGGATTATGCACATTTCTTATTGTCGAACAAAAAAAAATACACATTCTTGTTATATTCACTAGTATATTTTATTTTTCATTTTAATAAAACAATTATTATCTTTTAATACAATATGATTAGTTGTATATTGATGCACATTTGTTTATCATATATGTCCCATATAGTCAATAATTATATGACGATAATCGCATATACAACAAATTACATAAAATTCTTTTTTATGCATTTGTGTTGTTGAAAAAAATGTACATTGTTGTTTGATTCACTATTATAATCATTTTCCATGTTAATAAAACAACTATTGTCTTATAATACAATAGGATTGGCCATGTGTCTATGTATATTTGATTTGACATTTGAATATATAACATATACCTTATGTAATCCTTAATATACCATATGATTGATCATGTGTCTATGCATATCTAATTTGTTATTTGAATGCATTATAAATATTCCATTTAGTTAGTAGTATACAATATGATTGATTGTGTTTCTATACATATTTGATTCGGTATTTGAATCTATTACATATCCCATCTAGTGACCGAGTTATTTTGAAGTAAATGCATGTGTAACAAATAACTCAAGTTCTTCTTTACACATATGCATTTGTCAAAAAAAAAAAAAAAAAAAGCACTAGTTGTTGTTATATTCACTAGTATGATTATTTTTCATGTTAATAAAACAAGTAATATATTTTAATTCAATATGTTTAGTTGTGTTTCGATGCATATTCAATTCGATGTTTGAATAAATTACATATATCCTATATAGTCAATAATCATTTGGTAGTAAATACATATATGGCCACATTTTACTTAAGATTCTCTTTTACACATTTATGTTGTTGAAAGAAAAACCACACATTGTGTTTTATTTGCCATTGTAACTATTTTTATGTTAATAAAACAATTATTATCCTTTAAAAAAATACGATTGATTATGTATCTATGTATTTGAGTGTATTACGGATGTCTCATTTAGTTAAAAATTATTTGGAAGTAAATGCATGTATAATAAATCATGCAAGATTCTTCTTGTTAGGAAACAAATTTTGCAAGAAAATAAAATAAAAAGACAAGAACAATCACACAACACAAAGATCTTATGTGGTTTGACAATAGTGCCTACTCCGCATCTATACTAAGAGTTCTTATTATGGTTTTCAAGTGGCTATTTACAAATATAAGAGATTTTGTCTTTATTTATAATGTGAACAACTAGGATTATAATAAAAAAGACCTAACGAGACCATCATGTATACTCTATATTGCGAGCCTCTATTCATATCGGTCTCTACAACTTAACACTTCTTTACACGAGTGCTTTGTCAAAAAAATCACACACCGTTGTTTTATTCCCCATTATAATTAACATTCATGTTAATAAAATAATAATTATTATTATTTAATATAATATGATTGATTGTATGTCTTTACATATTTAAGTTGATGTTTGAATGTGTTTCATATGTCTCATATAGTCGGTATTATTTGGTACTAGATGCATGTATAGTAAACCACTCAAAATTTACTTTTACAAGTTAGCATTGTTGGGAAAAAAAACACATTGTTGTTTTATTCGTAATTATAATGAATTTTCCTGCTAATAAAATAATTATTGACTTTAAATATATTATATTTGATTGTGTTTCTATGTATATTTGATTCATTATTTTAATGTATTACATATATCTCATTTAGTCGGTAATGTACAATATGATTGGCCACGTGTTTATACATATGTAATTCGATGTTTGAATGTATTACATATGTCTCATCTACTCACTAGTTATTTGGAAGCAAATGCGTGTAGAACAAATCACTCAAGATTCTTCGTTACACATATGCATTGTCAAAAAAAAAAAAAAGCACATATTGTTTCTATATTCACTAGTTTAATTATTTTTTACGTTAATAAAACAACTATTATAGTTTAATACAACATGATTGGTCATGTGTAGATACATATACGATCCGAGTGGTTGAATGTATTACATATGTCTCTTATAGTTAACAATCATTCGAGTAGTAAATACATATATAATACCGAGATCACCTTGGATTCTCTCTTTTACACATTCTTGTTGTTGAAAAAAAAAAAACAAAACCACATTGTGTTTCATTATAATTATTTTTCATGTTAATAAAACAACTATTATCTTTTAACACAATATGAAGGATCATGTATCCATCCATATCCGATTCGATGTTTGAATGCACTACCTATGTCTCATTTGGTCAAAAATTAGTCGGAAGTAAATTTGTGTATAATAAATCATGCATGATTCTTCTTTACACGTGTGCATTATTGAAAAAACAACACACATTGTTGTTTTATTTGCCATTATAGCTATCGTTCATGTTAATAAAACAATTATTATCATTATTTAATACAATATGATCGATTGTATATCTTTGCATATCTAGTTTGGTGTTTGAGTATATTACATGTCCTATATAGTTAGTATCATTTGGCACTAAATATATGTATAGAAAACCACTCAAATTTTACTTTTACACGTTAGTATTGTTGAAAAAAATATATATAAAAAAATCATAAATTTTTATTTTATTTTTTATTATAATAAATTTTTATTTTATTTGTTATTTATGTTAATAAAATAATTATTATCTCGTTAATACAATACATTTGATATTATGTCTATGCATATTCCTTTTTAGACGATAATATACAATATGATTGGTCGTGCATCTATGCATAAGCGATTTGATATTTAAATAAATTCACATCGACTCGAAGTTATTTGAAAGTAAATGAATGTATAAAAAAATCACTTGTTGTTATATTCATCGTTATAATTAATTTTCATGTTAATATAACAACTATTGTATTTAATACCATATGATTTGTCCTATGTTGATGCATATCTAGTTTGATGTTTGAATGTCTTGTATATGTCCCTTATAGTCAATAATTATTTGACGAGTAAATACATGTCTAGCAAATAACTCAAGATTCTTTAATAGACATTTGTGTTGTTAAAGAAACAATCACACATAGTGTTTTATTCGCCATTATAATTATTTTTTATGTTGATAAAATAATTATGATTTTTAAACAATATGATTGATTATGTATCTTTGCATATCCGATTTGATGTTTGAATATATTCTCTATGTCTCATATGGTCGATAATTATTTAGAAGTAAAAATGCATGGATAATAAATCTTGTTTTCTTATTTACACGTGTGCACTTTTGAAAAATAAATCACAAATTTTTGTTTTATTCACCATTATAATTATCTTTCATGTTAATAAAATAATTATAACAATTATTATTATTCAATATAATATGATTGATGGAATGTGTTTGCATGTCTAATTTAGTGTTTGAATGTATTACATGTCACATATAGTCGGTATTATTTAGCATAAATGCATGTATAGCAAACCATTCAAAATTTACTTTTACATGTTAGTGTTGTCGAAAAAAAATCACATATTGTTGTTTTATTCGCCATTATAATTAATTTTTAATAAAATAATTAATTTTTTTTAATATAGTATGATTGATAGTATGTTTATGCATATCTAACTCATTGTTTACATGTATTACATATGTCTCATTTAGTCGGTAATATACAATAAGATTGATCATGTGGCTACGCATATTTGATTCGGTATTTAAATATAGTACATAAATCTTATCTAGTCAATTGTTTGTTTTTGTAAGTAAATGTGTGTATAACCAATAATTCAAGATTCTTCTTTACAAAAATGCATTGTCAAAAAAAAAAAAAACATGTTGTTGTTGTATTCACTTGTATAATTTAATTAAACAACTATTATACTTAATATAATATGATTGGTCGTGTCTCGATGCATATCTAATTCAATGTTTGAATGTATTACACATGGCTTGTATAGTCGGTAATTATTTAGCAATAAATGCATGTATAGCAAATCACTCAAGATTCTCTTTTACACATTTGTGTTGTTAGGAAAAAAAAAGCACACAATGTTTTATCCGCCATTATAATTATTTTTCTTGTTAACAAAATAATCATTTTTTTAAATACAATATGATTGGTTATGCATTTATGCATATCTAATTTGATGTTCAAATGTATTACCTATGTCTCATTCGATGCGGTAATCATTGGAAAGTAAATGCATGCATAATAAATCTTGTAAGATTTTTCTTTACATTTGTGTGTTTTTTAAAACAAAATCACACGTTGTTGTTTTATTTGCCATTATAATTATCTTTCATGTTAATAAAAAAAATTATTATTATGTTTTTATGCATTTGATTTGTTGTTTGAATGTATTGCATATGTTCCATATAGTCATTATTATTTTGCACTAAATGCATGTATAGAAAATCAATTTTACTCATTTGTGTTGTTGGAAAAAATCACAATTTTTTAATTTTCCATTATAATTATTTTTCATTTTAATAAAACAATCATTGTCTTTTATTACAATATGATTGATCGTGTGTCTATGCACATCCGATTCGATATTTGAATGTATTATGTTTTTATGCATTTAATTTGTTGTTTGAATGTATTACATATGTTCCATATAGTCATTATTATTTTGCACTAAATGCATGTATAGAAAATCACTTTTACTCGTTAGTGTTGTTGGAAAAAAATCACAATTTTTTTAATCTTCCATTATAATTATTTTTCATTTTAATAAAACAATCATTGTCTTTTATTACAATATGATTGATCGTGTGTCTATGCACATCCGATTCGGTATTTGAATGTATTATGTTTTTATGCATTTGATTTGTTGTTTGAATGTATTACATATGTTCCATATAGTCATTATTATTTTGCACTAAATGCATGTATAGAAAATCACTTTTACTCATTAGTGTTGTTGGAAAAAAATCACAATTTTTTTAATTTTCCATTATAATAATTTTTCATTTTAATAAAACAATCATTGTCTTTTATTACAATATGATTGATCGTGTGTCTATGCACATCCGACTCGATATTTGAATGTATTATGTATGTTTTATATAGCCTTTATTAGTTGGCACTAAATGCATGTATAAAAAACACAAAATTTAGTTTTACATGTTAGTGTTGTTGAAAAAAAAAATCACACATTTTTTTTATTGGCCTTATAATTATTTTTCATGTTAATAAAACAATTCACACATTTTTTTTATTGCCATTATAATTATTTTTCAAGTTAATAAAACAATTGTTTTCTTTTAATACAATATGATTGATCACCAATAGTTATTTGAAAGTACATGCGTATGTAATAAATCGCATAAGATTCCTCTTTACACTTATGCATTAAATATATTAGTTATTTCTTAAGTTAATAAAATAACTATTATTTTTGTACAATATGATTGGTTGAATGTTGATGCATATCTTATTTGGTATTTGAATGTATTATATATATCTTATATAGTCAATAATCATTTGACAGTAAAAGCATCATAGAGCATCAAACTACTTGAGATTCGTTTTACACATTTGTGTTGCTTAAAAAGAAGATCACACATTTTGTTTTATTTGCAATTATATTTTTTTTAATAAAGCAATTATTATTTTGTAATACATTATGATTGGTTGGTCGTGTATCTATTCATATCTGATTTGGTATTTGAATGTATTACCTATGTCTTGTTTGATCGGAAGTTATGTAGAAGTAAATGTATGTATAATAAATCATGCAAGATTCTTCTTTACATGTATGCATTGTTGAAAAAAACAATGTTTTATTTATCATTATAATTATCTTTTATGTTAATAAAAAAATTATTATTATTATTTAATAGAATTGATTGTATGTATTTGCATATCTAATTTGGTTTTTGAATGTATATATATATATATATATATATATATATATATATATCTTCCATGTATAGCAAAAATGGTTTAAATTCACGTTTACACATTAGTATCATTCTAAAAAAAATAAAAATAAATCACAAATTGTTGTTTTATTCATCTTTATAATTATTTTTCTTATTAATAAAATAATTATTTTCTTTTACTTCAATATGATTGGTCATGTGTCTTTGAATATCGGATTCCATATTTGAATATATTACATATATCTTATCTATAAAGTACTATGCAATATGGTTGATGTGTGTCCATGCATATCTGGCTACTATTTAAATATATTACTTATATCACATCTAGTCAATAATTGATCGAAAGCGTATATACATATATAACAGATTTTTCAAAATTCTTCTTTATATATATATATATATATTTTCAAACCAAGTTGAACGTTAATCAAGATCAAGCACCTCTGCAAACAATCTCAAAATTGAAATCATGAAAGAATTCAAAATGAATAATTTTGTTTTTTTGCATTGAAATCATGAAATGAAGCCTAAGAGAGGCTCCAAAATAACCCAACCCAGAGAAGACGACTTTAGTAAAAGAAAGAAAGAAAGAAAAGTTTGTGTCTGGTCCCATCTGACCCATCTTAATAAGTTCCATGTGATTGGGTCCGTAGGTTAATGGGTGTGGGTAATTGCTCTACTGTACCGCTCATCATTACCACATTTTTAACACTTCAAGAATATGACACACACATCCCATTTCGGACAGCACATTACTGTTGTAATATTTTTTTTTTATTATTATACTCCTAAATATACCTTTTCGAACTGTTTCATCAAATCTCTAATCATATCCACATGACATTAGGGCAGTTCAAATTAGGGTTTAAAAGACAGGAATATATAACATGATAAGCATCACTTAATGCACACCTTACTGCCTCCATGAATTCAAGATTTGTGGACTCCACCCATTATTCTAACAATAATAATTCATTAATATAATTAATACTTACAAGGCATCTTATGTCCTTGATGCCATAAAATTGTTTGCGTATGCTTCTTAACTTACTTTCATACATCAATCAACAATTTTGCATTTCTAGAATACCTTATATATTCCCAGCAAAATCTCGAGTTATTCAAATTAATTCATTAACGTAATCAAATTTGATCTTAACAATCATTTTAATGAACGGATTGAACTCGAATTAAGCTACGGATAACTCGAGTTATTTCATATCTAATCGTAAATACGGTGAAAGTGATAATTAATATGTCTAGAATTAATAATAACTTAGAATGATCTTGACTTTGATCTTACAAATAAATAAATATATGTTTTACATGGTGTTAAGCATGGATCTGTTCAATAAAATAAATAAACATAACATAAATAATCTTGATTTCACCTAAAAATCTTCCAACGGATCAAGAAAATGTCAAATAAATTTATTTATTTATTTATTTTTGATGAAATCAGGGTGGAGAGGTGGAAAGAAGGAAAGAAGCAGGGAGAGACAGGAACAGACTGGAATAGCTGTAAAAAGGGCCCATCTTGTGAGGAGTTAGAACGTGCGTGGCGTTTCTCCTGGTTTTGTGAAACCTTCCCAACTGCCACCCACACCAATCTCTCTCTCTCTCATTATGTGATTGGACAAATGGGTGCACATGCGCCTTGCTTCCTCTTCTTATTTTCATCCACTTCATGTTACCTGTAAATCCTCCTCCGTGTCTGAAATTTCTTGCCCATACAACTAATTGGTAAATTATCAAGTCTTTTTTTTTTTTTTTAATAACTTGTGTTAATGACAATCAACTTAGTTGGTAAATTACTTTTGGAGGCTGTTTCACTTAATTAATAAGTAAGTTTGCTTCTTACGCTATCGACATGAATTTAGTCCCAAAAACAAACTAAAAAGGAAAAAAAAATCGTGAAATACAATCGAAGAAGAGTTTAATTTTAGTACGAAAGTTAAAATTAGTTTTAATACGAAAGTTTGTCTGAAAATATATTTACCGTTAACAAAGATTAATCGGCAAAATCAATTAATTGTGGTCTTAATTTATGAAAACTAATCAAGAGTCAAGACAAGCGGCGGGTAAGAAAAATAGGAAGGTAACCAAAACAATGACGGGTTAAATCCTATAGCGTACAATCTAATCATCCAACAAAAAAAATAATAATAATAATAATACAAAAAAACAAGGATAAAAGCTGTCGTATACCAAAATAAAAATAATGCAATTACTACTATACATTATCACCTTTTATACATTATATCCATCCGAAAAGGTTTTCTCCACTCCAACTCATCATCCATCATTATAGATATAATTATTTTTATCAATAAATTATTATTCTAGTGGTAAGAAAACTAGTTTTTAAATTTTCTGTCAATGCTTAAGACTGGATTAAACTTTATCGTTTCGTTTTAAATATAATTAATTTAATCTTTCAATATAAAAAGAGAATACCTAAATAAATAAATAAAATGTTTTCGGATCAAGATGTACTATATTAGAGCCGAAATGCTAACTATTTTATTGTTGCAATTGCATTCTTTTTCAAATTACAAAGTATAATTACCTAATATGCAATTTCTATCTATATGATATGGAAATCATAATATGCATATGTACTCTCTTGAATGTTAGTGAAATTACCTTTGTTTTTTTAGAAAAAAAATTCTATTTCAAATGGAAATATTCATAAACAAATCAAAGAGATGATTTTTTTTTATAAGTAGAGAAAAACGAGTGTACAGATCGGTTGATCACAAATCTAATAAGAAATATTGTTCTTTTGATAGCTACACGTATCTGGAGAAATTCCAACCACACTTATGGAAGGAAAAAACCTACGGCAACTCTATGTTGACCTTAATTCGATGCTTCGCGGTTAGGGTTTCGCTCTCACCCATACAGAACATAAAAACAACCCAAGCCCATTTGTCCTACCCGGCCACACCACATGAACATGCCCACCTCCTCTCTTTTTCGGTATTTATCGATAAACTCACCAGCATATGTGCAATGTTCAAAATCCAATCTGACCGTTTCTGACATAACAAACACTTCTCATGTATTTAATCTACCACCATTCCTTTCATCAAATACTCCCTGTCCCTTGGTAGTTAGCAGCCAACTCATGCTATTTTCTTTTCCCAAAAAGACCCAACGAGCTATCTTTAAATCCCCACCCTCTTCTCCCAACATGGGCGAGGCATCCGACTGGAAATTTCAAGTCTTGACCATTAAGACTTTCTTCTCGGAAGTAAATGCCATCGCAGATTAGATACAAATCAACCTCCATTAGCTCGCAATAAAAACATATGTTCAGAAAAGGGGAAAGACAACAAAACAAAGACATGCTTATGAATTTGTAGAGGAGTGGAAGAAATTCTAGGATGAAAACGGAAAAAAACCAAGGATAAGTGTAGGCTCCCAAGCCAAATCCTATCAAGTAAAAAAAAAAAAAAAAAAAAAAGTCACTATCACTTGAAGTGATTTATTAACGACCCTTAATTGTTCACTTTATTTAGGCGGCAGCCCCCACTAGAACTAAAATGACTTGCACCTATCAGAATGAACAAGTTGCACTTCTGGCACTTAAAGCTTTACTGTGCCATCGAACTGTACCTGACCCTTCGAAAGCCACTTTAAAACCCCTGGCTTTCACTGACCAATGAAATTGATGTACAGTGTTGCACCAGTTCATTATCTCAACTTGCAACTTTGAATGCAGCTGACCTCCCCAGTTTTCGAGTACAAATTCCACCTGATTTGATAGTTATGCAATCTGGAGGTGATACAATATTGACTAAACCATACCGGTTGATGCATAAAGGTTAAAGCACTAAGATGTAAAGCTATGAAAAGTTATTGCCGATGCCCGGCAGGTCTTTTTTTTTTTTTCCCTCGAGCTATGATTTTATATTTGCAAATTCCAGTTTAAAGACAGGTGTATTGATTAACATAGAATTAACAAAGAAAAGATGGAAAATCTACTCCAGAAAAGAATAAAGGGCCTCTAGTAACACAGTTACACAGAAAATCTTGCCTTAGTTGTCTATTTCTCTAAAGAAGAATATGATTGGAAAAGGTTAGAGGATAAAATCAAGTCCCAGCTGCGTGTACAAACAGCCCTACGCTGAGAGATTAGTCAAAGTTAAACCATATGGGAAATCTATAAAAGAGAACCACATCAGAAGCCTCAATGGGAAGAGAAAAATAGGTTCCATCAAGATGCTAGTTTGAGCCTTTTAGATCACTCCAGAAAAGTAAGAAACAGTGATAAGTCTCATAAAGAAAGAATTGAATCAAGAAATTGACTGTTCATTTTTGCATGGATGCGTTAAACTTTGCCACTTCTATGCCTCCAAGACTTGCTCAAACAATTTCTCACAAATGTAAGAGATGCCTAGGTATCTCATCTGTTTATGATGAAGATAGGTCAGGGAGACTCATAGACGCAAAAGTCAAAACGTATACCTAAAAGTATTTTTTAACTAGCAACTCATAGATTTAAAAAACAAAGATTAAAGACTAGAAGAATGAGATACAATTATCACAAGAAATAGAAGGCTTTAAGAATAGTGCAGGAGATGATCACCAACTAAAATCACAACAAGCTGTTGACAAGATCACCAAAATGTTCTTTTATCTCACTCACACAAATCTGCATCCGTAACCTTCCAAGGATACGACAGAAAATTAGGAGAGTGTGGGAGCATTTAGAATAATGAACTACTTGAGGCCTTATAGAGAAGTTGCTATCAAACAGACATAATGAATTAATTGGATGATCTAGCTCTTGGGAGCATAACAGTAGTTGACAGAAAGGGAATGAACTCCGAGTCAGTAAACTGCACCAGAAGGCAAAGAGACACATTTTAATGTAAAAGAAAATATAAACTTAAACATACCTCAATTCAACAGCATTGTACTGCTGACACGACTCTCCAAAGCCTTATCTGACACTACCACATAACTTATGACACATTGTTCTTTTTCTAATGCGTCCTTGTATTTGACACTTGTTCTGGTTTTTCTGTGTACTTTCCTATTTGCTTGTAATATTGAATTTGTTCATATCAGAATGCATCCCTCGCTAGAATATGAGTCCAATGACCTAAACTCTTGTTGGCAGACCTCCCACACTTTACCCTCTTCTATGCTACCTAGCTTCTGATAGCATACTTGATTTTGTACATTCCTCCTTTCCTCAATTTTTTCCTTTCTTTCCTTCAGTACACGCATGCATGTCTCATGCACAGGTATGCATGTTTAATGATATTTTTATTATTGCTGAAGTGAAACTATCTGTCTTTTTAATGTCAAAATTTGTAACTCTTTTCTACAACAGTCAAAGGAATGGAATAACCAACATAAGTGGTATAGAAACAAGCAACTGAAATCACATCCATATGGGCCATAAACATTTCACTATTCATTCCTCTCTTTTAAACTTGGTTAAAAAGTCACCCATTAGGATGGTAGAATTGAAGAAAGAAACTAGTACAAGATTAAGCCAGGATAGGTATAGCTCAGAGGTGCTTGGAGAAGTTACAATATTCTACCAGCTATGAATTGAACACATCAGACGTTTCATACTTTATGTATTGTCTCAGATAAGCAAACCTTCATGTTATAAAGTACCAATTATTGGAAGCTAAATGTCAAATCTACAAATAATAAGATTGTGGGAAGTCATAAGTGCGACAGAAGTGGAATTAAATGGAGAAAAGTATGCAGTAATGAGCACTGAAGGTACACAAATTGGAGACAAGATGCAAGTTGAGTAGTGCTATGATGTGCTATGATGCACTCATACAAATCCATAAGAAGACATGCTCATTGAACGGGGTTAAGGTAAGACTGATGGGGTTAAGGGTTTGTGTAGATAAGTAAAACCTTCAAATTTACTAGTACCACATATTGGGAAGTTAAATGTAATATATCCATAGAAATAGACCATAATAAGTATGATACAAGCAGAATAAATAATGAAAAATATGCACTAATGAGTACTGAAAGTACACAAATAAGATTGTAAGTTAACGCGTTCAATAAGTTGCACAGGGTTAAGGTAAACCTCGTGGTGTTGGATCCCGCCTATCAACAGAAAAGTAGAACCATGTGGTAAGATGGTCAACAAGGTTCTAATTAGAACAAAAGGTCAAACTGATGCTCTCTCTCCAACACATACGCACAAAAATCCTGTCAAGGGCTTTCCCAATAAAGTAAAAAGGACATAAAAAACAAACACCAAATAATTGGGATGATATTTAACTGAACATCTACTGGGATGAGTGGATGGCACACCCTAGATCTAATTGCTCAAACAATAATGTTTGACAGAGAGTTGAAGGTACAAGAAAAAAAAAATGACAGCAAACCACAGACGCTGTAAAATAGGAGAAATGAATCTTGGCAATTTTATTTGTAAACTAACTAAAACTGTCTCTCACAACGTTAGCAATGCCTACAAGTTAGATATAGACTTGAAATTATTTACCTTCTGAAGAAAAAGGAAGGCAAAAAATGTAGTCCAGGAAGTGAAGGTTTGCAATCTCGTCTTAAACTCAACTGTGTACAATAAGGAACTCCCATATCTGCAATTTCGTTAGCATGGTTTTCAAAATGCCAGATGTCAGTCGGTAAACTGCTGTTGCAAGAAGGAAGCGAAAACAATGCTGCTGAACAATGTAAAGCACAGGTTGGGGAAGGGCCTTCTTCAAGCATACATTATCTCCAAAGCAATAATAGCGAGTAAACCAAATGCTACTGTTCATATTCACACAGAATCAGCAAAAGAACCAAAAGATCCCTTCTCACACTGTCTAACTGATATTGTAAGGAGTTCATCACTTGTTTGATTCAGTTTGCAACACAGGCGACGTGGTGACTGTCCAAATATATATTTGAAATGTTAGCATTCAACTTGTAACGCAAAGTTGGAAAATTGAGGTAAAATCAAAGTAGACAATATCATCAAACAAGATTAAAAACTAATACAATAAGGAACTCACCAAATGCCAGTTCTTCTTCAGAGGATACCCCAACACCTGAATACGCTCCACATAAGGAAGAGGAGCCGAACGAGGAAAGCAGAAAAATTTTCTTTTCAAATCATCTTTTATTATTGCCCGCACATATGTACCCAAAGTAGCGTTGCCTTGTCTTTCCACATCTTCTAAGAAGAAGAGGACCGGACTCTTGCAGACAGATTTGGAAGGATTCCTAGCATCCAAATCAAACTCATTCAGATTACGAATCTTGTTCCAAGCAGAGTATGTAATTTCTGAACGCTCAAGCACCCGGGGATGCACAAGGCTTGGGAACACTTGGACAGCATAACCAAGTGAGACAGAAAAAGAAAGGCGGCGTGCCCGGTCATAACAGATTGATCGCTGCAAGAAGCTCATAGGGTCAACCTTCATGGCCTTTGTGAAGAGTTTCAAACTATCCAATGAGTTCAACCCAGGGTATATAGGATCCACAGCTTCAACATGATGAATTGACACAAAGGGCGCAATCGGGTGTGCAGATAGAAGACCATGAGTACTACCCCTAATATCCCACTGCCATAACAAAACATCCACAACTTAAATCCTAGAATTCAAGGAACCTAATTCTCTAAATTTTTATGGTCAACATCCAATCCATTGAGTTGACTTTTATATAAAATCACTAACTGCTTAGCAGCACAAGTCATAACATAATTACTAATAAAATGCAAGTTGTCTGAACGTAATAGTACGAAAATGATTAATAGAAGAGTAGATAAATATACCTGGTGAAACCCAAGTTCTCTAGATAAAGGAACACCAAGCTCCGAAATACAAGCATGGAGTCTATCATCACTTCCATATAACTTAGGATATCTCTCAACACAATCATCAAGAACACTATAAAGCACCTCGGCAAGAGGATAACTTATAGCAATCCCTCCACCTCCATAAGCCATATTATGACTAAAATAAGTATTCGCAGAGTGACTCTCCGAAGGAGCACCAATATAAACCATTTCGTTATAATCATATTTACTCAATACATCAACCAAATTATCCACATTAAAAATAGTATCATCATCTCCCAAAACAAACCACCGAACATCAGACAAACCTAGACGAAAAGTTTCTGACACAATGCGCGCAATCCGAAGCCCAGAAGGATGTCCGGTCGGATTGGTGTACCGAAACCGAGAAGTATCCTCCGAAATCATAATCAAAGGCAATGATGCATCCCATTCTTTCTCATCCACTCGCTCTTCTAACCAAACATGACCCCGCATTGAATTCTTTCTCCACCAAAGCCTTATAAACTCCTTCCTTCTTTTCCACAACTGAGAAGATCCTGCAATGCCGAAAACTATATGATTCAACGCTAGCCCTGCTTCATCTCTTCGTCTCTCCGCTTCCGATAGGCCCCTATTTCTCCCTAATTGAATAGCGTGTGGAGCGGCGGAGAAATTCAAAATTCCTTCTCGAAACAAATTCTTATCTTCCTCAACCTTGGCGGAAAGCACTAGATTCTGACTCTGTGGTTTCCATGGGAGAGTATGCGGACTGCCTTCCCAATTCCTAAACCTATGCCAACAACGAGCAGTGGTACCAGAAAATACAAGAGACAGCCAGGCTGTAGTGGAAATCACGAGCGCAGCCACCACAACCACGGCGACACCAGTCCGACTCTGACGCCACCTACGGCTGCGAGTCCGGGAGAGCGACATCGGCGAGCGGCAGAGAGGGGAGACGAAGGAGGAAGAATCCATTTTGATTGGTCTGATTTTGTGTCGCGCGGCTGAAAAGAATCATTTCCGTCTCATAAAGAGAACGGAAAAGGGAATCTGCCTGGTAGAAAGAGATCTTTTACAATCTGGTTTTGTTCGGAAGGATTAAGGAGAGGTTTTTGGGTGTTTTAAGGAGAGCAGAGCGAGGGTGCCTTCCTTTTAATGGTTATGATTTGATTTTGTTTTTGATTTTTGATTTTAAAATTTTAATTTTATTCCAAAAAAAATGTATATTATGGGATTGATTTTTTGTATTTGAAAGTTGAAAATTCAAAGTGAAAGGGAAATCTTTCAATTTTTTTTTCTTTTTCTTCGTGGAATTTAACAAGAAAAAACAAGAAGAGAAGAACAGATGGATGGAAGTGATAGGCAAAGACAAAGAGACGTTGTGAATTTTGTGGGATCTTTTCGGAACCGGTGAGTTTGTTGGGTTGTTTTGTCTTTAGGAATATTAATTTTTGTCTTTTATTCTAAAAATAAAATATATTTTTTTTGTACGTCAAGATTATTATAATCCAATCATAATGAGATTAGTATAATCATGAAGATTTTGTTTTTATACGAAGCTAAATCATATCCAGAATTATCAGGAAAAACAAAAGTATCACATTGATATAAATTAAAAAAAAAATTAATGTACATCACAATAATGCATGGCAGGAAGAGCGTGGACAGTTAATGGTTTTTTTCGGGGGAAAAAAAGGGATATATTTGTACCTCAAATAACAAGTAATTCTCGAACTGGATCCGGAAGAAAAAATAATTTTTAGTTGATACCCCCCATCTATCAAACATTACTCAATTAACTCTTTTAGAAAATGAATCAAATAAAAGAATATAGTAAAAACAAATAAGAATAATCACACAACAATGATTTTATACGATTCGATAATAGTAATTAAGTTCATCTGTTACACTAAGATTTTTTTATTAGATTTTTTTAAGAGAAGTTTATAAATACAAGTAATATTATCTCTATTTATAGTTTGGACAACTAACATTATAACAAAAAAACGTAACAAACCTATACACTTGATTTAATATTTTATAGACATTTCGAAGGTTCTGTTCCCTAGCCCTCACAAACCTTTGATCCTCATTCATTAATCGACTAACGAGACCGTCATACCGACTCGCATAACATCCTATACTTGAAGGTTTCATTTATATCGGTATTCACAATTTAATAAATTTCACAACTTAAATTTATGATTTAAAAAAAAAGCGTTATTTTACTACAAACGGATCCTAATTTTTTAATTTTGTGTGATTTTCATGGAAAAAGAAAGTCAATAGAGGGTTATGTGGGTAATGTATAATAGAAAGAGGGCTCGATTGAGATTAATTTGAGGATTAATCTATTCTTTACCTTTAATTTAGAAATGTGACCTTAAAAACCATTGTTTTTAACATAAATAGAAAAAAGAAAGAAGAAATTTTGAGTTGATAAGCTTAATGAGTTGGATTATTCGTGTGCAGCATACGTTAACTTTTAAAAAGATAACAGCACGTGGATAAATTAATCAATTTTGGCATTGCATATATTCCTTCAGGTTCCATAAATTTGTGTATCAAAATTATTGGATGGGCTATGCCACATTTCTATGGAACTTAAGTTTCTGATCCTGGGCCCCTTGATCTATAAAAAGAAAAACATTGTTTTTTCAAAATTCTCTAGTTAAAAGTGATGTACTTTATATTTGTTTTCTGGTTTTCTAACATATAGTTCATCTACTATTTAAGTTGCTTAATTAAAATTCTTTTGATTCTCTCTATTTTTCATTTTGTTATATTATCATTTTGCCTTATTACGTTGTTAGTTAGTGAACTGGCATTGTATGTTATATTTTTGAATGCGTAACATATATATAATGAGCAGGATTCCAATACAAAATTTCAATAAAAATAATTTAAAAAATACAGGAATTAAATCATTATTATTTTAAAAAATTTTCATATTATTGCTTTTAAAAAAATTTTATGTTAGGATATGAATCAAGCAAGAAAAAAATAAAATAGAAAAACAAAAAGAATAATGCGAGTATAAAAATCTACATGGTTCGATAATTATTCATACTCTACGGTTGCACTAAAAGTTCTTATTAAGAATTTTCAATAGACTTCTATAAATACAAAAAATATTATCTCTATTTGTCATGCAGGTAATTAAAGTTATAATACTAATAAAAAAATTATTGAGGCTTGTTGTATTGGTTCCGCATAACGTATTAAATTATGGACCTCGTCTACGTCAACGTACACAACTTAAAATTTTACATTAAAATTATATATATATATTTTTTTTGATTAAAGATGTCAGGAGATGATGTTGATTTTCATTAAAAATCAAATAAATTCAACTTCCAATTTACAAAAAAATGATATTCATGGGACATTACACATGCGTGCCACCACTTCATATTCTGTCATCAACATCCATTGACGAAAGGAGACTGTGTTAGATGTATGACAAGGATTGGTCCGATTAAATAAAAATTTAATCTATGGCTTAGCATCGACCTTTTTCTTTTTTGACATGTGATCACATGAGTCAAGAAGAACAACTTTCGTGTTCTGTCTTTTACAAATTAGTCAAATCCTATTCATCATTATTGGCTCCCCATAGACACGTTAATTATCCTTTGTCATTTGGAGATAATATATATTATGTAATGCCCAATGCCTTCACATTAGATTCTCAAAATGGGTCTCCAATGTGTCCGTTGCAAAAACGTTATGCTAAATCATTAAATATTATGATGAAATTGACTTAATATTCCCACCTATCCTTACATAATACATTTATTTTTTAATTTATTTATAAATTTTAAAACGTTTTCAATTTATTTTTATATTTTGAGCTAGTTTCTATATATCTTTATGATGAAAATTTTCGATTAATTCATTAGAAAATTAATTTTCATACTTGGTAAATATAAATCACTTGTGTCAAATAATAAAGATAATTTTATCAAATTACATACCATGTACAAATCATTTGTTTAATTTGATTGAAAATTTTAATTAAAGTGATAGATTATAAACCAACTAAAAATATAAAGACATATTAGAAGCGTTTTAAAATTGACATATTAAATAGGGATAATTACCGGAAAAGCCTTATAAAAAAACTTATATCTAAAAAACCCACAAATTTATTTTTAAATCTCTTGAACCCAAAATAATATTTTTCTTACTAAAACAACCAATAGTTAACTATTGGTTGTTTTAGTAAGAAAAATATTGTTTTAGGCTTGTGATATTTAAAAATATTATTTTATGTTTGAGAAATTTAAAAATAAAATAGTGAATTTTTGAGATAGAATGATTTTTAGAAGATATTTTGATAATTATTCCTAGTTTAAATGAAACAATTATCTTTCAAGATATGTATTTCTACTATAGAATGATCATTTTTTATTTAATTAATGTATCAAAATATGTTATACCTTCGTCTTGTAATTTAATTTAATTGATTGATAAAAAATGTTGAGTTATGATTAATTAAAAACTAGTATTTCGGATGATGTTTTTTTTCCTATCAATATATTAGGATTTAAGAAATCATTAATGTTCATAATCATACATATTCTTATTTTTCTTATTTGTATAATAACCCTTTGATTAAATTATAAAAGAATAACTAGAGTCTCATTTCATCAATATTAATTAGTTAAATTGCATCAATTGCTATATTTACTAGATAGTAAAATTAATCTCGTAATTAATGAAATAAATGGTAGATAAAAAAAACTCTAATATAAGGAATTTTTTTAATATAATAAAAAAATTAGTAGTCAAATGTTAGTGTTTAAAAGTCAAAGAACCTCAAAAACAATTTTGTTTTCTTTTCAAATGCAATAAAAAGAACTTGACTTGATCATGAAATAAATAAATAAATATCAAAGTCATAAAAAACTATGAAATGAGTTTATTATTAGATAAGAACTATATAAAAAAAACTCTAAAAAAATTTCTATCTAAAAAATCCGTCGATTAATTTTTAAAATCTCTCAATCTAAAAATAAAAAAATTATCTTACCAAAAAACCCGAGTAGTTAAGTAGTATTAAGTTGGAGGTTAACTATTGAATGTTAGGGTAAGAAAAATATTATTTTGGGTTAATATATTTGAGATATTTAAAAATAAATTGATGGGTTACTTGGATATAAGATTTTTTAGCGGGTTTTTCTGTTAATTATCCTTATTAAATAAGGATATTTGAAGGTATTAACCCATAATTTATTAAATAATTTTAAAATGATTTGATGGTTAAGAAAATATATATTAAAATATATTACTTTTATTGTTTTTAGATTTAAATTTTAGAGTTATTATTAAAAAAATTATTAAATTTATTTGAATGCTAGGCTGACGTGTGAGGTGAGTTATTAGAATTATCTGAAGAGTTTTAATATCGATCCATATGTAAACTAACTCGAGAATGCCCCTTACTGTCTAATAAAAAATAAAAGAATAATATTATCGAATAATGATTATCTTGAAGAATCTTATTTTTATATGAATAGATATCTATTTTTTCAGATATCTATTTTATTTAGGGTCACTATTTATAATAGGTATTTCAATCAAGATATAGGAATGAACATTAGTTATTTTTCTTGAGTTGACTGAAATGAGATGATAAATCTATTTTTTCAATAATAAAAGCTAATTTTTAAATTATTAATAATAATAATAAAAGCTTAGAATGAATGTTTTTTTTCTCTAATGTTGGTTCAGATAAAAAAAATAAAAAAGGTTGTTATTTATGTTATTATTTTAGCAGAGTTTGGAAAAAATCTTCTTACAAATGAAGAAATTTAATTTTGATTCCTGCGGCTATAGAAATAACTTTGGAAAAAATACACAAATGTAGTTTTCTCCGAAGTCTTCGCTTCCGACAAAACAAAGACGATTGCTCTTCCAAGTCTTCACGGCTGGAAATTGAATGGCTGATTCTCGTCCTTGACTTCTAGTTT